TCGACACAGAGAAGACAGGGAGGGGTAGTCGAGGGTGGGAGGGGAGGCAGAGACCTGGGAAGACCGGAGACAAGGAGACGGGAGTGCATGCCACGGAGGTGTGCCACGGAGGGGTGACCAAGGCGTCTGGTGCGACAGGGCGCGACATGAGCTGGGGGGCGCAAGCTGACCTAACGTAGACGAAGCTACCTGAGGAGGCGCATTATTCAGTGTGTACAGACTCGACCCAGGTCGACGGGTGAACGTGGCCAGGCACCTGCCAGTCCGGGAGCACGTACAGATCGCCACACACTGTCCTCCAGGGGTGAAAGTATCGACCCACTGTTCCTGAAGGACTGCGTTGCTCACCAAGTTCGCAGAGAACGAGGGGAGGTGGAGACCTGACTGTGAGCCAGACGGAACCGCTGGACAAGGCAGAACAGTGGAGGAACGTGCAAGGACTGGGCCCCCAGAGGGGTCAGCTAGAAAGACTGCAACAGGTGCAAAGAGTGGTGTGATTGTGGTACTGTCACGAAAGAAATAGTGTGAAGCACCTGAGTCAAGCGTGAAGGTGTGCAAGGCCGAAGTAGACGCAGTGCCAGAGAGAGCTGACTCACCAGCACCTAGAGCAGCAGACTCACTAGCACCTAGAGCAGCAGCCTCTATACATGGGTCTGGCAGCATACACAGGTAACAGTCACCCTCTGCACTAACTGTCAATGCATACATGGCAGATAGTATAGCATCATAATCAAGAGCTAAGATGTTTACACCCTGCTTAAGTAGCTCTGCCCAGCGGGGGAGCTCAGCCGCGTTTGGAAACTCCGTGCGGAAGGCATCGGTAAGACGAGAGAAGCAGCGGTACTGTGTGTGGAGCTTCCCATATGTCTGGTTAGTGCGGTCACGTGTGCGAATGACATATGGGCAGGGACCACTACCCCCAGCCGCCCCACGCTGAGCAAACCATTCACGTAGCTCCTGGGGCGAAAGTTGACGCTGCTGCTGCCTCTGACCCCCGCCCAAGCCTCCCCTCTAACTCGTACCACCCCGGCCGCCACCACTGCCACCGCCTCCACTCCCACTGCCGCCACCACTGCCGCCGCCACTACCGCCTCTGCTGCCACCACTGCCGCCACCTACACCTCCACCCCCACCACCACTCCCTCCGCCACTGCCGCCCCCTCCACCGCCTCTCCTACCCACACCACCACCTACACCTCTGCCGCCCCCATCGCCCCTGCCTCCCCTGCCCCTGTCGCTGCGGCACCTCCCAGTAGGGGCAGACGTAGCTCCTACCTCCTTAGCACGAAGGTAGTCAACAGCTGCAGCAGAGGCGACTGAGGGGAGAAGGGGGGAGGGCGAACACCCCAAAAAGAAGGGGGTGTGAGGAGTGCCACGAGAAGCGCCTACAGCGACTATGCAAGTCTCGGCTGCAAGGAGGTGCTTCTTGAGCAGGTCGACAGTGAGGGTGGTGGGGTCAACGGCTAGAAGGAGGTCTCTGACAGTGCTATGAGAGTCAGGGAGGCGGGTGACTATGAAGTAGAGAGTGATGTACACGGGAGGAGGGTTCTTTGTGAGAAACTCGGCGGGAAGCGCAGCGCGGTAGCGAGTGTCACTAGTACGAAGGTGAGTGACGAGGTCGGCTACTGTGGCAAAGGCGGACAGCTCTGGGAACAGGTAGGGCAGGAGAAGGCGGCCTAGAGCAGCAGTGGCCGGGGAGGAGTAACGAGCGACTATAGCGTCGTACAGTGCTTTCGCAGTCTTATGCTGTCCGAAGTGAGCACGTTTGGCTAACGGTAAGTGGTTGCGAACAACTAAGCGAGTAGCAGCGTCATGAGTAAGCCACTGTGAGTGAGTCGTACTGTCAGCTGTGGCGGCAGGGGCGAGAGAGGCGCCAGCCGTGAGGTCAAACAGTGAGACTCCGTCCTTGGAATCGCTCAGTAAGAACAGCTGTAGGTCGTCGAGCCACGCATCGAACTCTATCGGGAGGCCCTCCGGATCGAACGTGAGGACAATGAGCGTGGCCATAGTGGGCAGGGCGGACGGGCGCGCTAGCAGCAGAGCAGCATGCAGGCAGGGCAAAGCAGGGCGGTGGCCAGCAGGGCGACTCTCAGAGCAGTAGCGGGGAGTAGGGCAGGGCGGCAGTCAGTAGGGTAGGGTGGCACGGCTGTTAGCGGCGCTCAGGCAGGGCGGTGCGGCCAGCAAGGGCAGGGCGGCGCGGCCAGCAGGGCAGTGCAGTGCAGGGCGGCCCGCAGGGCAGTGACCAGCAGGGCAGTACAGGCCAGCAGGGCAGTGCAGGGCGGCGCTTAGTAGGGCAGGGCGGCGCGGGCCAGCACTGCAGGGTAGAGCAGGCCAGTAGTGCAGGCCAGCAGTGTAGGGACCAGCAGGGCAGTGCAGGCCAGCAGGACAGTGCAGGGCGGCACTCAGTAGGGCAGGGCAACGCGGGCCAGCAGTGCAGGGCAGTGCAGGCCAATAGTGCGGGCCAGCAGTGCAGGGCAGTGCAGGCCAATAGTGCGGGCCAGCAGTGCAGGGCAGTGCAGGCCAGCAGGGCAGTGCAGGGCGCCACTCAGTAGGGCAAGGTGACGCGGCCAGTGCTTACACGTGCAGGCAGGGCAGGGCAGTCGCGCTTGCTGGCACTACACTGTGCAGTGCAATGACAGGAGTGCAGTAGATGTAGGGCAGTTGCAGCAGTAGGGCAGTAGGGACAGCGGGCCGGCGAGGTGTAGGGCCAGTGCAAGTGCACGCGCGGCAGGGCAGGTGCGCACGGGCCTGGCGCGGGCTGTACAAACTACGTGCGGGCCTAGCGTGGGCTGTACTAGCTGCGCGCGGGCCTGGCGCGGGCCGTGCGGGCTGCGTGCTAGTCGTGCGCAGGGTGTACGCGGGCGGCGCGCAGGCTGTATGGGCTGCGCGAGGGCGGCGTGTGGGCTGTATGGGCTACGCACGGGCGGTTCGCGGGCTAAACGGGCCTGGCGCGGGCTGTACGGTCCACGCTCGTGCAGTTCGCAGGCTAAACGGGCCGGGCGCGGGCTGTACGGTCTATGCTCGGACGGTTCGCAGGCTAAACGGGCAGATTTTGGGCAGGAAAAAAGCTAAACGGTGGGCCCTCTAAAAAAAAAAGGTCCTTAGGAAGACAAAACTGAAGATATTATTTATGTCATTAATCTGAAGTGTTCATGACCAAAGCTATATGAGAAGAATTGAATGATGCCAGAAACACTCAGATGACATTATTGCAATCTTGAAATCGCCAACACAACAGATTCTATCGACACCTAGAGCCAATGGAACTCCAGCACACTATTCCTACAAGGTTCCCGAAGTTGATATTGGCCCCGAACCTGCAAACCTAGTCACTCGACCAGTGGGGAGATTTCCGAAGCTGAGGTCCTAGCTGCCCAAGCAGATTCGAGTTTTCCCAAGCTGCGTACCCTGGGCTGCGTTCTGCTGGCGCATTATTATGCGCGCACGACGCACAAGTTGTGCGCTCGGAGGCTTCTGCGCAGGAGAGTACCCCCAAAACTAGCACGAAGTTATGACCCAGGCGCGAGGTATCTGCGGGGCAGGTGCCAGGGTGTTTACGTGGGGCAGGCCCAAAATATTTGACAGCAACAGCGCTGACCTTTTTTGGTACACAACGAATGGCTACAAACGAACACCCAATCGCCAGGCACCTCAAAATCCAATTTGTGCACCCGATTGGGTGACAACCGTTGGGTTGAAAATTAGCCGAAGTCGTACTTTTCCCGGGCGTTTTCAGCTGCCCCGCACAGCTTGTGCGCCCCTTGAACGCTGGGAGACGAGCAGATGGGACTCGCACAGGCTGTGCGGGAGGTTTGCCTGTGAACGCAAGGTCCTAGAATTCTCCGAGCGCGTTGGCAGTACAGCGTTTTTGCGCACGCACGAGTAATGCGCGCACAACCTCCGGCCCCAAGCCTTGTTGCGCAAGTTCCTTGTATATTCTCCGTTAGGATCACGCACAGGCTATGCGCCAACAGAACGCGCCCCTGGTTTCTGCTCGACGCGATGCGTCGAAAGCATCTTTCCCCACTTAGATCGAACTGTTACTTCAATCCTACTTTCTGAAACCCTACTATTCGGAACCCCCCATTTTTGGGATGGGGTAGACCCGACCTGCGTTCAAGATCAGGAAATGAGAGCTGAGAGGGCAGAACAGTGTTGCACTAGATAGTGGCTCGATAGCAGTCGCGTCGAAGCGACAGATAGGGCGACGAGAGAGCGACGGACGACGACAAATCCGCGACTGTCGACGGCGAAAAAGGAACAGTAGCTGATGAGAGAGCGACAGTGAACGGCGATAACGATAAAAACCGGATCGCGGTGGCGGAGAACCGCGAAATGCAGCGGTGCGAGGAGCAGCAGAAGTGGTTGGCGGGGGCAAGCACGGGCGCAGAGGCGGGGCTTCCAGCCGCGACAGCGGCGGAGGCTGCACGTCGCTACGAGCAGCACAGGCCGGAGCAGCGGCAGCGCGAAGAGGCGGTGGAAGCCTGGATCAATTCCCCGCCACCGCCGCCACTCCCGCTGCGCGCGCGCCTCTATCGCCGCCTCCGCGAAAGTGCGCGGATATTTGCGCGCCAGTGGGAGGGGCAACGCAGATGGGGGCAGGAGTGAGGGGCGGCTGTGCAGGGGGGGAAGGGGAGGCGGAGCAGGGAGGGGAGGCGCAGGGAGGGGAGGGGAAAAGGGGGATGCGGGCGCGTGTGGTTTGAGTTTGGCAGACGCGAGGCGAGGGAGCAGGCGGAACAGGGGGCGGAGCAGGAGAGCAGAGGTGGGGCAGGCGGAGAGGTGAGGAAAGGCGGGAGAGGGGGAAGTAGGAAAATCATGCGCCAGAAGCGAGAGGGGGGGGGACGAGGGGGGGTGGGCTGGGGCTCGAGGGAGGGCCAGCGGGGAAGGGCGAGTTTGCGTAAATCTAGCGACATGGGAGAGCATAGGTGTGAGGTGGGGGAAGGACAGGCAGACACCAAAGCTTAAGCAAGTGAGCCGGTGTGGGGAAGAGGGACCTATGGCTATGGTGGGTGGGAGGAAAGGAGGAGGTGGGAGGTGTGGCGATGGTGGGAGGAATGGAGGAGGCATGGGATGCGTGGAGCATGAGAGGCGTGCAGGAATGTGTGCTGGCTCAGCGGTGGTGGTGGGAGAGGCGAGGGGGGAGTGAGAGGAGGATGGGATGGAGGGGAGATGGGGAGAGAGAAGGGCAGCAGGCTAGATGACGGAGGCGAGGGAGAATGGGATGGAGTGCAGGGGGGGAATGGGAGGGGGGGGGGGGGTGGCAGAAGCGGAGTGCAAGGGAGGGGCGAGGTGGATGGAAGGCAGGTGGGTGGGGAACGAATGGGCATACGAAGGCAAGAGAGGGGGAAGGGAGGAGAGAAGGGAAGGGAGGAGAGAAGGGAAGGGAGGAGAGAAGGGAAGGGAGGAGAGAAGGGAAGGGAGGAGAGAAGGGAAGGGAGGAGCAGCGAGGGGAGGAAAAAAGGGGAGAAGTGAAGGGAGGGGAGCGGAAGGAAGAGGAGGAGGAGAGCTGGGAAGAGAAAGAGGCGGGGGGGGGGGGAGAAGAGATGGCAACAAGGCAGCGAGGTGAAGAGACAAACTCAGCCGACCACTTAGTGAAGGATGGGAGGGCGGGAGGAGTGGCAGAAGCGGACTAGGATGGGAGAGAAAGGATGGGAATGGATGTGAGAGTGAGGGGGAGGTGGATGGGAGGCAGGTGGGTGGGGAACGAGTGGGCATGCGAAGGCAAGGGGGGGGGAAGGGAGGAGAGGAGGGAGGGGAGGAACAGGGGGGGGAAGTGAAGGAAGGGGAGCGGAAGGAAGAGAAGGAGAAGAGTGGAGAAGGTGACGAGCTCCCCGAGGGCCTTCCCCTCACCCACGAGGGGGTCCGCGTGTTGGGAAGCCCTGTGGGGTCACAGAGCTTCTGCTCTGACCTCGTCCGCAGTACCCTGACAGACGCGGCGGCACCCCTGGGCTCCTTAGCGTCCATCCACCCGCAACATACCCTCCTGCTATTGTCTCGCTGCGTCAGCCGCAGAATCGGCTACCTGCTGCGCGCCACCCCAGCAGACGTCTTGCCTCTCTCGGAATGGCACGCATGGTGCTCTGAACTGCTCAACACCGCGTTGACTGCCGCCAGCATTCATCCACCCCGCCGTGAAGCCGAGTTCAATTTCCTCCTCCGTCAAGCAACCCTCCCAGTAGCCCTAGGCGGACTGGGCCTCACGGACCCCACAACAGAAGCAGCACCAGCCTACCTGGCTTCGACAACAAAGGCGCTACGCCTGCTCCGATCCCTTGACCTCCTAGCAACCGCGGCGCTAGGGGGCAACAGCAACGCCCTGCAGCCGTCAGCAGCGCACTCGGTCACCATCCAAGACATGGAGGGACGACTGCCACCGCTGGCGCTGCAAAACCTCCGCGAGGAGCAGCAAACCCCGTCCCAAGACCAGCTGCAGCGCGCCCTCTCTCAGGAAGTGCACGCGGCAAAGGCCGACGCCCTGACCGAAGAGTCATGAACAATTCGGTCAGCCCCCGAGATGGGCCACACGCTCCGCCTTGTCAGCCTGAGAGGCGAGGGAGCGGGAGCGTGGCTGCAGGCCTTACCCCTGACTCGTGGCTGCAGGCCTTACCCCTGACTCGTGGCTGCAGGCCTTACCCCTGACTCGTGGCTGCAGGCCTTACCCCTGACTCGTGGCTGCAGGCCTTACCCCTGACTCCAGACCTTTGCTTTTCATGCCAATTCCGAACAGCCATGGCCTTCCGGATGGGCATCCGACAGAATGTACCCACCGTGTGCGAGTGTGGAGAGCTCGTAGCCGACTGCAGCCTACCCAACCATCTACTCCGCTGCAGCACAGGCCCCGACAGAACACGCACACACAACCAGCTGGCCTTCGCCGTGGCAAAAATGGCGAGGGACGCGCAGCTGGTGGTATACCTGGAGAATGCAATGTACTCACCGCCAGATGACCCGAAGAAAGCCGATGTGATTGTACACGACCCAGACAGTGGAGAGACCTGGATCACAGACACGACTATCACTGACCCTGTGCTACAGAACCGAGACCTCGCAGCCTGCAAAACTCCAGGCTGGGCTGCAAGGGAGGCACAGAAACGGAAGGAAAGGGATTACTACTGGCACACAGAACACGTGGTGTTCTGCGCCCTGGCCGTCGAGACCTACGAGGCAAACGCGCCCCCCACGACGGCGTTCCTGAAGCTGCTGGCCACAGCAGCAGCTAGGAACCGTTTCAGGGCCAACCCCTTGGCGAAATCCGCCAAGAAGATGGCCTGCCAATTCAGCCAGCGCTGGGCAGTGGCCCTCCAGCGCTCCCAGGCGAATGCCCTGCACACCAAGGCCAGGGCGGGGATTGAGGCAGCGCACCCCCAGATAGCAGCGGACCCATGGCCGCTGCACCTAGGGAACATCCTCCACATGCTGGAGCGGTAGAGGGGCACTAAGGGGGGGGGAGAGGATCAGAGGGATGGGTTCATGGGTCGCAAGGTCTAAGGGAACCCCCTGCTGAATTCATACAAAGGACCATTTGAGAAGAGAAAGCGGCGGGGGGGGAGAAGAGGCAAACTCAGCCGACCACTTAGTGGAGGCATGCAGCAGGTGAGGCATGCAGCAGGTGAGGCATGCAGCAGGTGAGGCATGCAGCAGGTGAGGCATGCAGCAGGTGAGGCATGCAGCAGGTGAGGCGAGGAGTTTTGAGAGTTTACATAGTCTTGAGGGCGGGGGGAGGATGGGAGGGCGGGGTTTACATAGTCTTGAGGCAGAATAAAAGGCGAATTCAATTGACAGCATACAGTGGCGTGGAACAAGTCACTTGCTATTGTTCACTCGCCACCAAAGTCCACTGAACACCACTGAGCGCCACTGAGGGGGGTGCGGAGTGGGGAAGGGGAAGGGGAAGGGGGGGTGCTGGCGCGTGTGGCTTGGGTTTGGCGGAAACTAGGCAAGGGGCGGGAGACGTGGGAGTAAGGGGCGGAGCAGGATGGGGGAGAGGTCAGACGGGGCAGGCTCAGGGGCGGGGACGGACGGGAGAGAGGGAAGGGGCGAGATTTTGCTCCAAGGGCTCCAAGAGGGGCCAGGCGAGTGGGGGAGGGTAGAGGGGCACGAGTGGGGGAGCAGGGGAAACCACGGAGAGGGGGAGGGGGGGCTGGTGCGGGTGAATAGGGCAACGTGGGAGAGAATTGGTGTGAGGCGGGGGAAGGAGATGCAGATTCCGAAGCAGAAGCGAGTGAGGCGCATGAAACGCATGGTGGTGCTGGCACAACGGTGGGGTTGGGAGAGCCGAAGGGAGAGCGGAGGGAGGGGGCAGAGGAGAGAGAGCCGAGGAGGGAATCGGAGGAAAGAGATGCGAGAGGGGGGAAGGCGGGGGGGGGGGGTGGTCGGAGGACATGGGAGTTGCGAGGGAGGGGGAGCAGGGAGGAGAGAGGAGAGTGAAGGAGCGAGAGGTGGATGGGAGACGATTGCGTAGGCGAGGGAGAAGAACCCGAGGAGAAAAGGGACGAGGGAAGGCTTAAGTGACAAGGGGAGAAAAATGGAGAAGAGAAGGGAGGTGAGGGGAAGGAATGGGAGGAGAAGGGAGGGGAGAAATGGGGAGAGGAGGAGAAGGAAGGGGAGGAGAATAGAGGGCAAGACTGCAGCGCAGTGGAAGGGCTAACTCAGTGAATCATTCAAAACCATTCAAAACCATTCAAAACCATTCAACACCATTCAACACCATTCAACACCATTCAACACCATTCAAAACCATTCAACACCATTCAAAACCATTCAACACCATTCAACACCATTCAACACTGCCGAACACTTTGGTGGCCACACAGGGCTCAACCCCCTCCACTCTCTCCCACGTCTCCCTGCTATCTTTCACTCTCTCCCCCTTCTGCCCCCCGGCCCCCCACCCCCAGGTACGTCAGCGGAGCTGCTGCGATTCCAAGTCAGGGCTTTCAACGTGAGCCCCTTTCATAGTGAGTCGCCCTGTATGTGAGTGGTCCGCCTGTAGGTAAGCCCTGGCAAGGCCGTGCAATCATGTCAACTCCACCAGAATGAGCCTCATTATCCACCTCACCTCAGGCTGGGCCGTTTGGCCTTGAGTTGACACACCACCAGGTCCGGGGCTCCATCGCACCCTGCCAGTCGCTGTCAAGGTGAGCTCAGATTTTCCTACCTTAGATAATCTCTCTATCAGTGTCTTGGCGTCACAATTCCCTTGCAGTCGCTGCTACGCTGCGGTTGCTTCAGGGGCATATCCCCACTCACCCGTTCCCCCTCCCATTCCCCTTCCCTTCCCGAATGGGAGAAGACAGTGATAAGGCTTGCAGGGGTTTAAGGAGGTACCTCCTTCCCCCTTATCATCCCCCCTTTCCCCTCCCCATCCCCCCTCGAACTCCCCATCCCCCCAATCCCCGTGTTATCTCGTCCGCCCAATCCCCCGCCCCTCACGCCCTCTGCCCTTACCCTCGCCCTCCACGTCGCCCCTCCTCCCCCCACACCCCCCTTCTTTTTCTCCGCCCTGCACCCCTCACATCTCCCTTTTCTCAGGTGAGTGCAGGCTAAGGTGAGTGCCGGCTAAGGTGGGTGCCGGCTAAGGTGAGTGCCGGCTAAGGTGAGTGCCGGCTAAGGTGAGTGCCGGCTAAGGTGAGTGCCGGCTAAGGTGAGTGCCGGCTAGGGTGAGTGCCGGCTAAGGTGAGTGCCGGCTAAGGTTAGTGCCGGCTAAGGTGAGTGCCGACTAAGGTGAGTGCCGGCTAAGGTGAGTGCCGGCTAAGGTGAGTGCCGGCTAAGGTGAGTGCCGGCTAAGGTGAGTGCCGGCTAAGGTGAGTGCCGGCTAAGGTTAGTGCCGGCTAAGGTGAGTGCCGACTAAGGTGAGTGCCGGCTAAGGTGAGTGCCGGCTAAGGTGAGTGCCGGCTAAGATGAGTGCCGGCTAAGGTGAGTGCCGGCTAAGGTGAGTGCTGGCTAAGGTGAGGTGAGTGTCGGCTAAGGTGAGTGCCGGCTAAGGTGAGTGCCGGCTAAGGTGAGTGCCGGCTAAGGTGAGTGCCGGCTAAGGTGAGTGCCGGCTAAGGTGAGTGCTGGCTAAGGTGAGTGCCGGCTAAGGTGAGTGCTGGCTAAGGTGAGTGCCGGCTAAGGTGAGTGCCGGCTAAGGTGAGTGCCGGCTAAGGTGAGTGCCGGCTAAGGTGAGTGCCGGCTAAGGTGAGTGCCGGCTAAGGTGAGTGCCGGCTAAGGTGAGTGCTGGCTAAGGTGAGTGCCGGCTAAGGTGAGTGCCGGCTAAGGTGAGTGCCGGCTAAGGTGAGTGCCGGCTAAGGTGAGTGCCGGCTAAGGTGAGTGCTGGCTAAGGTGAGTGCCGGCTAAGGTGAGTGCCGGCTAAGGTGAGTGCCGGCTAAGGTGAGTGCCGGCTAAGGTGAGTGCCGGCTAAGGTTAGTGCCGGCTAAGGTGAGTGCCGACTAAGGTGAGTGCCGGCTAAGGTGAGTGCCGGCTAAGGTGAGTGCCGGCTAAGGTGAGTGCCGACTAAGGTGAGTGCCGGCTAAGGTGAGTGCCGGCTAAGGTGAGTGCCGGCTAAGGTGAGTGCCGGCTAAGGTGAGTGCCGGCTAAGGTGAGTGCCGGCTAAGGTGAGTGCCGGCTAAGGTGAGTGCTGGCTAAGGTGAGTGCCGGCTAAGGTGAGTGCTGGCTAAGGTGAGTGCCGGCTAAGGTGAGTGCCGGCTAAGGTGAGTGCCGGCTAAGGTGAGTGCCGGCTAAGGTGAGTGCCGGCTAAGGTGAGTGCCGGCTAAGGTGAGTGCCGGCTAAGGTGAGTGCTGGCTAAGGTGAGTGCCGGCTAAGGTGAGTGCCGGCTAAGGTGAGTGCCGGCTAAGGTGAGTGCCGGCTAAGGTGAGTGCCGGCTAAGGTTAGTGCCGGCTAAGGTGAGTGCCGACTAAGGTGAGTGCCGGCTAAGGTGAGTGCCGGCTAAGGTGAGTGCCGGCTAAGATGAGTGCCGGCTAAGGTGAGTGCCGGCTAAGGTGAGTGCCGGCTAAGGTGAGTGCCGGCTAAGGTGAGTACCGGCTAAGGTGAGTGCCGGCTAAGGTGAGTGCCGGCTAAGGTGAGTGCCGGCTAAGGTGAGTGCCGGCTAAGGTGAGTGCCGGCTAAGGTGAGTGCCGGCTAAGGTGAGTGCCGGCTAAGGTGAGTGCCGGCTAAGGTGAGTGCCGGCTAAGGTGAGTGCCGGCTAAGGTGAGTGCTGGCTAAGGTGAGTGCCGGCTAAGGTGAGTGCTGGCTAAGGTGAGTGCCGGCTAAGGTGAGTGCCGGCTAAGGTGAGTGCCGGCTAAGGTGAGTGCCGGCTAAGGTGAGTGCCGGCTAAGGTGAGTGCCGGCTAAGGTGAGTGCCGGCTAAGGTGAGTGCCGGCTAAGGTGAGTGCCGGCTAAGGTGAGTGCCGGCTAAGGTGAGTGCCGGCTAAGGTGAGTGCCGGCTAAGGTGAGTGCCGGCTAAGGTGAGTGCCGGCTAAGGTGAGTGCCGGCTAAGGTGAGTGCCGGCTAAGGTGAGTGCCGGCTAAGGTGAGTGCCGGCTAAGGTGAGTGCCGGCTAAGGTGAGTGCCGGCTAAGGTGAGTGCCGGCTAAGGTGAGTGCCGGCTAAGGTGAGTGCCGGCTAAGGTGAGTGCCGGCTAAGGTGAGTGCCGGCTAAGGTGAGTGCCGGCTAAGGTGAGTGCCGGCTAAGGTGAGTGCCGGCTAAGGTGAGTGCCGGCTAAGGTGAGTGCCGGCTAAGGTGAGTGCCGGCTAAGGTGAGTGCCGGCTAAGGTGAGTGCCGGCTAAGGTGAGTGCCGGCTAAGGTGAGTGCCGGCTAAGGTGAGTGCCGGCTAAGGTGAGTGCCGGCTAAGGTGAGTGCCGGCTAAGGTGAGTGCCGGCTAAGGTGAGTGCCGGCTAAGGTGAGTGCCGGCTAAGGTGAGTGCCGGCTAAGGTGAGTGCTGGCTAAGGTGAGTGCCGGCTAAGGTGAGTGCCGGCTAAGGTGAGTGCCGGCTAAGGTGAGTGCCGGCTAAGGTGAGTGCCGGCTAAGGTGAGTGCCGGCTAAGGTGAGTGCCGGCTAAGGTGAGTGCCGGCTAAGGTGAGTGCCGGCTAAGGTGAGTGCCGGCTAAGGTGAGTGCCGGCTAAGGTGAGTGCCGGCTAAGGTGAGTGCAGGCTAAGGTGAGTGCCGACTGTGGGCTGTTCTTGCACTGCACTGGCCTCACTCTCTCCTCTCCTCTTTCCCTTTCCCTGAACTCATCTACACCTCATGTCTTCTGCTTGCATCCCTGCGCTGCAGTGCCCTGCACTCACTCGTCCTCACCTCCTTTCCCGTTCCCTGTATTGCCCTCGCTCTCTCCTTGTCCCTTATGGTATCCATGCCTCCCTTTTCGGGCGCTAAACTGCCCGATGAGGGAGTGAACTGCTGCATGAGTTCCACAGCCTTTCTGGACGGTGACAGGGCTGTGCTTGCACTGGTCAACAATTGGGATGCACAGGCTGTGCTTGCACTGGTCAACAATTGGGATGCACAGGCTGTGCTTGCACTGGTCAACAATTGGGATGCACAGGCTGTGGTTGCACTGGTCAACAATTGGGATGCACAGGCTGTGCTTGCGCTGGTCAACAATTGGGATGCACAGGCTGTGCTTGCACTGGTCAACAATTGGGATGCACAGGCTGTGCTTGCACTGGTCAACAATTGGGATGCACAGGCTGTGCTTGCACTGGTCAACAATTGGGATGCACAGGCTGTGCTTGCACTGGTCAACAATTGGGATGCGCAGGCTGTGCTTGCACTGGTCAACGATTGGGATGCACAGGCTGTGCTTGCACCTAAATGCTCATCGTCTCCTCGCCTCTCGCACTTTTCCCATGCCTCCAGGCTTCAAATCTCCCGTGCTGTCGGGTGAGTGCCGTGGCTATTCTGGACAACAATTGGGATGCACAGGCTGCTGACGGAAGGCATGAGAAAGTTGGTGCTTTGGGCAGGAATCCCCTTCCACGCATAGATGGGATGCACAGCTGCTGGGATGCACAGCTGCTGGGATGCACAGCTGCTGGGATGCACAGCTGCTGGGATGCACAGCTGCTGGGATGCACAGCTGCTGGGATGCACAGCTGCTGGGATGCACAGCTGCTGGGATGCACAGCTGCTGGGATGCACAGCTGCTGGGATGCACAGCTGCTGGGATGCACAGCTGCTGGGATGCACAGCTGCTGGGATGCACAGCTGCTGGGATGCACAGCTGCTGGGATGCACAGCTGCTGGGATGCACAGCTGCTGGGATGCACGGCTGCTGGGATGCACAGCTGCTGGGATGCACAGCTGCTGGGATGCACAGCTGCTGGGATGCACAGCTGCTGGGATGCACAGCTGCTGGGATGCACAGCTGCTGGGATGCACAGCTGCTGGGATGCACATCCTGCTGTGTAGCGGTCTGGCAGAGGCAGGCAGTTATGGCAGGAGGGGGAGGCAGAGCTGGGGAGAGAGCTGTAGCACAAGCGGCAGACGGAGCGTGCTTGCATTGGCCTGTCTCCCTCCTTGTGCTCACCTCCTGCCTCTCGCCCATCTCCGTCGCACTCATTTGGTGTGGTGAGGGGTCTCAAAGACACCCACAGAGCATGCAGCCTGATGAGAAGCGTTCTGGCAGTGGCTGTGACAGCAGCAAGCGGTGGGGGAAGAGGCAGTAGGTAATGGAGGGAAGTGATGTGCATGAGGGAGGGCGAGGAGATGGCACGTGATTGCAGGGGGCAACTTGATATGATGAGGCAGTTTTTAGAGTGATGCTGTGCAGAGCGTTTTTGATGGTGCATGCGGTTATCATGATTGCAGGGGCTTAATGCACCGTGATGCGGTGCAGAGCGGTGTTGATGGTGCGCGTGTCGGGGCATAGGGGTTTGTGGAGGCACATGGATTTGGAGATGATGGGCACAGAGAGGGTAGATGGATGGGGGCAGAGAAGGGCATTCTGCCTCCCATCTCTCAGTGTGTTTAACTGCTCCCCCCCCCCCCCCCCCCCCCCCCCCCCCCCCCCCAACAGGAAGAACGGCCTTCGAGCCCTCGTTCGCCCTTTCCTCCGTCAATTTCCCCCCTGGTCTGGTCTGAAGCTCTCTTGATCCTCTTCCTCACTTCATCTCACTACCATGTCCTTCGTACTTGCAAGCTTCCCAATCATCTCTGCTGTTTCCTCCTTTCTCCGGCTCTGTTCAAGTGTTCCTGTCATCGCATTGCTCATAATGTACAAGTGTTGGGATGAAAGCATCCGTTCCACCGGACGGTACTTCAGTGCAGAGAACTCACTGATATCGCTGCCACACTCCCACAACCAACACACTCCTCCCACCACCATCTCGCTCCCACCACCACCTTTGCTATGCAGGAACGACGGAAGTGTTTTGGCAACAAGCGCCCTCTTTCTCCCATCGGCTCTCTCACTCCTACAGCCCTCTCACTCCCACCACCATCTCTGCCATGCTGGAAACGAAGCCTGGTGGGGAAGCAAGAGGTCGAGGCAGCCTGGCAGGCTGCAGCCAAGACTTACTACGGTCAAATGCGGAGTCATGCGGGAGAGTATCACCAACAACTCAATGAGGGCAGTTTGGGTTGTATTGCGCTGAGCGCCCATCCGTTCATAAATTGTTACAAAAGTATTAATAAATTATGTAATCACCGTATACTGCAGTGGTTAGTTTTGGACGTGTTTTAGCGCGTGAAAATCTACCCATGATGGTTGAACTTGGAGAGGGAGCTTGTGGCATTTGTGTAGAAATAAGATAAAGTTATTTCAGAACTTCATTCTGTCAAGTTTGTGTAAGAATTATGAGATCACCTGTAGGGTAACAATAGCTTTTATCTTCCGACGAGTTCGCGTCAGCTGGTTCGGACAGCATCCGCGCTCCAAACCAGTTCCGAGTCGCCACCGCACCTCGGAGCCTCGTTTCTCTGCGGATCTCGCCTAGCTCGGCTCTGCCAATTTATTCGTCATTTTAGACATCCCTAGGGCATTCAGTTCTGTAGTTTTCAGGTTTGCAAAACCGCGGCTCATAACAATTTGTTTCTCAATCGCTGCAGACCAAGTCACATCCCTTGAAGTAGCGGAGATTGTGTCCAGCAGGGATATGCCAAACACGGGCCGCGTGCTAGATTCTGTCGGAAACCTTAGGAGCGCCTAGCGGCGCAAACGCTACTGCGTCAGAGCGACAGACAGGCGAGGCAGGCGCGACGTACGGCGACGAGAGAGCGACTGACTGCTACGAGAGAACGACGGACCGCGACAAGAGATCGCTGCGACAAGAGAGCGACAGACTGCGACCAGAGAGTGACGGACTGCGACGAGAGAGCGACCGTCGACGGCGGGGAAATGCAGTAGATAACGGACACTAACCGACAAAAACCTTTTCGCAAAGGCGTAGAGCCGTCGCAGCAGATGCGCGAGGAGAAGAGGCAATGGCGGGTGGATCAAGCACGCGCGCAGGGGAGGCTCCCAACCGCAGTGTCGTTGCGAGCAGCACAGCCCGAAGGCGGCGGCGCGAAGAGGCGGTGGAATCCCGCGCCGGTCGCGATCCGCCTGGATCACTTCTCAACTGCCGCCATCCCCGATGCACTCTCACCTCTGCCGCCGCCTCCTCGAGAGTCCGCGACAGTAGGTTTGTGCACCGTGCAGAGCAGCAGGATGGGGAGCGCTGATGGGGGCAGCAGTGACGGGCGATCGCGCCGCAGAGCGGGAAGCGGGAAGTTAGGATGCGGGCGTGCGTGCGTGGGTTGGGTTTGGCGGAGACGAGGCGAGGGGTGCGAGAAGGGGGAGCAGGAGGCAAAGCAGGAGGGCGGGGGACGGGAGAAGGGCGGGAGAGAGGAAAGCTGGGAGAGCGCGTGCCAGGGGCTCGAGGGGTGGCGCGATTGGGGGAACAAAGTGGGCCGCATGGGAGAGGGCGGGTGCAGGTGAATGCGGCAAAGTGGGAGAGCATGGGTGTGAAACGGGGGAAGGAGAGGCGGACACCGAAGCAGAAGCGAGTGAGCCGCTTGAAACGCACGGTGGTGCTGTGAGACAGGCTCGCGAGCAAAATCGAGGGCGGCAGCGCGAGTGCGTGGGCAGCAGCGCGAGTGGGGGATAAGGGGGAGATGGGGGAGGGGTGGATGGGAGAGGAGGAAGGGGGTGCATAGGGAGACGGGGACCTCAGGGTAAAGGACGTATGGGAGCAGGGAGCTATAAGGCGGCACATCCCCCCCATCCCCCTCTCCCTCCCCATACCCCCCGCAACGACGCATGGGAGCAGGGAGCTATGAGACGGCGCATGCTAGCAGGGTTGAAGGAGGTGGGGCAGGCGGGCAGGGCTCAAGGAAACATTGATCTTTTCCGCATGCAGGGTGCGATGCGGCGGCAGGTGCTGGCAGTGCTGAAGGGGGGCAAGCAATGCATCCTCATCCCATCCCCACATGATGGTGCTGCTGTGATCCACAAATGCATGGTGAAAGGGGATGGCAGAGGGCAGACGGTGAGCAGCCGGGAGAATCAAGTGTGTGGTGCTGGGAGGGCCGTGTGTGGGAGAGGACGGTGGAAGGTAGATAATGTTTTGAATTCTCAAACATTGTTTCTCCCCACGGTACGCATTTCTTGGAATTTTTAGACCTTACTGAAGTTCTGTCGTCGCGTACGCAGCATTCATCATTCAAACCACCCCTAACCACCAGTCCCAACCCCCACTTCCGTGTCCGCCCTGTCTCCCTGGCGGTCGCACTCTCGCCCATTCTTGCAGGCAACTGCACGCAAGTTTTCCGCGCACCCACCCCACCCTTCCTTCCACCCTCTCGCCTCCCCCCCCTCCTCTCACCCCCACGGCACCTTCCCCAAGGCGCTCTTGACGCAGCCCTCCTCACATCCATTCTAGCAGGTGCTGCATCGCTGTGCATGCAGCCGTGATACAAGGCGAGTGCAGGTGCAGGTGGAATGGTGGTTGACTGTGGTGAGTACTGGCAGAGTGGGGGGGAAACGGCTGTGACAAGATGGGTTCTTCTTGCAGTGAGGACTGAGGGGCTGGTCAAGGTCACCAGGCGGATAGAGGGAAAAGGGGTGAGGGGAACTGAAAATCGCGAGTGTAGATGCCATTTCTTTCAAGTAATTTTGCGTTGGCTTAAAGGTATGTTTGTTATTGATCCTGGTTCCTATCAAGTATTGACTCAAACTCAAATGTGGGGAGTATGCAGTTGCAGCGAAGAAGCACACTCCCACATACTCCCCACATTTAAGGTCGAGGCCACATTTAAGCAAAACGATGAGGTGGAATCTGAAGTGGAAGGTTGTGGCTGCCTTGCAGTTGCTCTTTCTTGTGCAAGGCACAAATCAGTTGGCCCCACCTTCAAGACTGCTTTGCACGACAGTAGTGACTCGCTAGCAGCAAAATCCTTCTCCCCACGTGACCCGCCCACATTCATGCATATCCCCCCTTGGCGCACAATGCTCTGGAGGCAGAGAGGGGAAGAGGGAAGAGGTGCAGGCGGGGCAGGAAGGGTTGGAGGGGCAGGGAGGGCAGGAGGGGAAGGAAGAGCCAGAGGGGTAGGGAGCAGCGGGTACGTGAGTGGTGGGACGCGACTGTGGCAGGAGGGGCAGGTGGAACGGGAGGCAAGTGGTGTGTGAGTGGTGGGGAGGAGGGGAATAAACGGACAGATGGATGCTCAGGAAGGGCCGGGCCGGGTTGTGAGGTGTGCTTGCATTGCCCTCACCACACACCGATGGGGTGCTCAGCCTCCTGAGGAAGCAGAGCAAGGGAGACAGCTGTAACAGCAGGGGTAGGTGGAGCGTGCTCACCTCATGCCTCTCGCCCATCTCCCACACACTCACAAGGCAGCCTGCTGAGGACTGTTATGACAGAGGCAGTCATGGCCGGAGGGGGTGACGCAGTAGGCAGTATGGATAGAGGGAATGGGCATGAGAGAGGGGGAAGAGAATATTGGAGAGTGATTGGAGGGGCCAAGTGATTGATGAGGACAGAGGGGGGCAGATGGATGGGGAGGGGGGAGAGGAAGGCAGCGCATCCCCACACAGGCTGAGCGAGATAGAAGAAGATGAAGAATGAAGGGAGAAGCAGCAGTTAGGTACAAAGGAGATGCGAGGCGCAAGGGGCCAGGCGCAAGAGGGGGTTTGGGAGGAGGAGGGGGGGCAACCACTGCCCAACCACCCTCCCTTCTGTCAGCCACAGAGGTGGGTGTAACAGACGGCACTCTGGATCGTGCCGTCTGGATCATGCCGTTCAGACACCTCTGGTGTGTGGGGAAGGGTTTTGGGGGGAAGGGGGAGGCGGTCATTCGGGTTGAAATAGGCGATACATGCATCAGTCCAACCCGTTGGTACTGCCATGCCGAGAACTCAAACCACCCCATTCTAAACCATCTCACTCTCACCGCAACTCTCCCACCACCATCCCACTCCCACCACCATCCCACTCCCACCATCATCTCACTCCCACTCTTCCCTCATGAAGCCAGGCTGCAGGCAATCAGGCCCCTAGATTCGTTTTGAGGTAGTCTGACGCCTCAGAGTACACCCCTCTTCCTAGTCTGGCTGTCTGAGTTACCTATTTTTTTTAGTCTGAAAATTCAGACAAGCACAACTTTTTTTGTCTGAACTGTCAGAGTTACTTCAATTTTTAAGATGTTCATGCAGTTTCATACAGCATAGTTATAATAGCATTGAAGCTGATTACAGCATACCAGCGCAATTGTGCGGCCAAAAATGGGGCACTCTGATTGGTAATTTTTCAAGAGTTAGGAACACTGAGCAGTCAGGGTCGAGGTGTGGGCATCAGACAATGGCCTCGTGCAAGTGCCAAGTGTGGCAAGCTCACAATCAGCTGACCTGGCAGCAGGCATGGTACCGTATTCTCCTGGACATAACACCCTAGGGTATAGCTAAAAATACAGGGAAAAAATGGGGGTCCTCTTCATAGGAAAAAAATACATACAACTCGGGTCTTTACATATGGCATATTTTAGTGTTAGAGTTTTTTTAATTAGTCAATGTGGGTGTTTTGCTGGTAGTTTTAGCATCACTGCCTGAGGCGCAAATGTGAGTTTCGGCCTCGAACTTCATCGCCCTCACGAAAATGCCATGTGGCACCTCTCTTGCCACTTGCAACGGAAGATTCACCTGCACGTGGCAACAGAAAAATAGTGAAGGGGGCTGAGAGAATTGAAACGAGAATGAGTGCACTAAGGAATGGAATGTGGTACAAAAGTGCAACCCTAGAAATGTGTACCCCATATAGGCTACCCCACTACAGCCTACAGAACTATGATTTGACACACCCCCATAGGCTAAGTGGGGGAGAACAAGGGGTCACAAGACCAGTCAAGCAGAACAAAGCAAAGCTCAGGGTGGATCACAAAGTCACCACACATTCCGAGCACAAGTTCAAGGCCAGAAGGTGACGGGTCGGCAGTAGAATGAGCAAACCTTAGAGCCGCAATTGTAGTCCTCAGTGTGTCGTGCCACTCACGGGGCGCCTTGCGGAGACCGTAGACTGGTCGCCGGAAGCTCCACTGGGTACAAGAAGGAAACGACCCAGTGAAGCCAGGTGGGCGGCGCAGCCAGATCTCCTCATGTAGGCTGCCTTGCAAGAAAGCAGTGCTGAAGTCAAGAGAGTGAAGCTCGTAGTCGCGCTGAGCGGCTATGTGCAGCAGCACCCGAAGAGTGGTCATCTTCAGGGTGGGAGAGAAGGTCTAAAACTAGTCAACTCCCTGCCGCTGTCTGAAGCCTCGAGCCACATAACGTGCCTTGAAGACAGGCGGAGAACCCGGCGGCCGCTTCACCCTGAAAATCCGCATGCCACTGACGATGTTCGCCCCAGGTGGGGGAACCGCGTCAACGTAGGTGCCTGTGGACTTCCAGGAAGCCATCTCTGCATCCATAGCTGCCTGCCACTGAGAGGAGTAGGGACCCTCTACGGCCTCCGCGTAAGAGCGTGGAGTCGGGATGTCAAGTGCATCCGGGTCTCCCTCATGGGTAAGCAGTACGGACACGAGATGATGTGAAGCAGCAGCCAGACACTGGAACTCCTCCTAATTGTCCTCAAGGACGTCCGTGCCAAGGGCACACTCACCCCCGACGGACGGAGGACGGACAGACTCAGACTGAGCGACAAGACTAGCAGCATAGTCTAGACGACAGCGAGCAGCAAAGTCGACGAGCTCAGCAACTAGGGCAGACGCTGCAGTGGACTCAAAAGAAGGGTCAGTGTCGACAGTAGCAAGGAGGCGCGTGACAGTAGGACTGGCAGCACGAAGAGAGTCCGACTCCGGGTCGGCAAGAGCAGGAAGAGAAGACTCAGGAGGAGAAGGCAAAGGGGCACGAAGAGGAGCAGTGGACGGACGCAGAGACATCCGGTGCGTGCCAGGGACAGGAGGAGGACGCTGACGCGAACTGCGACCACTAGTGCGAGCAGCACGGACAGGCGACGCAGGGCGAGACGCAGGCTCACGACGCTCAGCAAGACCTCCAGTAGGACTAGTGTAGGGAGACGGAGCAGGCAGTGGGGAGGCCGGCTGTAACTGTAACTGCGACGGGACAGGCTGTGGACACTCTAAGGGAGGAGGAGGACCAGTAGAAGACGGGAGACCAAGAACCTGCTGAAGGAGCGGAACGAAGTACGGCCGAGGCCGCACGGCGACTCCAGACACAGCAGGGACATTACCAGCACCCCCAGTGGCAGCACCAGCACCAGTAGCAGCTCCAGCTCCAGTACCTCCAGCAGCACCAATAGTACCCCCAGCAGGACCGCCTCCAGGACCGATAGCAGGAGCCTCCGCGCCAACAACCGCAGCAGCTCCAGCTCCAGATTTACCCGCGGGCCGAGCAGCTCCAGTACTCCCAGTCGAGCACCTCCGAGACCTGTGGCACCAGCTCCCTCATCAGCAACAGAACCTCCAGTACCCGCAGCACCTCCAGCTCCAGCAGCTCGCCTCCAGCGCCGGGCAAACCACTCCCGCAGCTCCTGTGGAGAGAGTGGCTCTCGGCACGACGAAGCACCCGGAGAACCGCCAGGCATAGCACATGCAGGCCCAACTCCCTCCGGCTCCGCAGCCCGAGGCTCAGTACCTCCACGCGTAGCACCCCCAGGCTCAGCACCTCCGGGCTCAGTACCCCCAGGCGTCGCACCCCTAGGCTCAGCACCCCCAGACTCTGCACCCCAAGTAGTAGCACCCTCAGGCTCAGCACCCCCAGGCGTAGCACACACACGCTCAGCACCCCCAGAGTCAGCACCCCCAGGCTCAGCACCCTCAGCAGCACCAGAGTCACCAGTAACCTCGACAGGCTCGACTGCGTCTACCTGGGACACACATGAGGGGGCAGGACCCTGAGGGGGGAGGGGGTCTACCGGGGGGGGACTTGGCACAAGGAAGAGCGGTGGCGGGGGGAGGGACGGAGTGCGGTAGGGGAAGAGGCGGTAGTAGGGGACCGACTCGTCAAACGTGACGTCCTGGGAGGACAGAACATGACGAGAGGTGGGGTGGTAGAACTGCCACCCTGGCGCGTCAGGGGGGAAGCCAAGGAAGACGCAGGGAGCAGCACGAGGGGACAGCTTGTCCGCAGACAAGTTGCGGACAAACGCCCGAGATCCCCAGACACGGAACGCAGACGCATCGCCTACCTTCCCCGTCCACAGCAAAGCTGGGGAGGTCTCCGGCATGGAGACCCTGGGGTGAAGGTTGATCTGATGCGCCGCGTACCGAACCGCAAACGACCACAGAAGATGGGGGGCAGCCGCATGCATTATGGACGTACGGGCGACGTCCATGACCATACTAATGCGGCGCTCAGCAATCCCATTTTGCTGTGGAGAGTTCGGAAGCGTAAAGGTCTGGTAAATGCCTCACGCACGGCAGTAGGCTCGCAGAAGGCCAGAGGAGAACTCTCCGCCTCTGTCAGAGTGCAGACGCAGAACAAAAAAGTCCGAGCCAAAGCTCCTCCTGAGCTGGAGACGAGCTGCGCGGATCCAGTCGATCAACACCTCAGTGACATCACCCTTGCTGCGCAAGGGGAGGACTGTGGCGTAACGCGAGTAGTCGTCAACCAGCAGCAGGAAGTAGCGCTCGTGACCTTGTCCACGGACGCGGGCCGGGCCCCACACGTCCATGTGAAGCGTCTGCAGCGGGGCCTCTGTCGGGGGAAACTGAGAGGAGTGAGGGGCAGCCCGCAGCCGCCCCTCGACACCGGGGACGCAGGTTGGGCCAGACCCCGGAGGAAGGGGAGGGAGGGACCGGGGAAGACCAGAGACAAGGACACGTGAGGCCATGCCTCGGAGACAAGGCAGGGAGGGGTGACCAAGGCGATGGTGCCAGAGGAGAGTCTCGTGAGACAGGAGGCAACATGAGCAGGGGGCAAACTCAGGACCAGACCTGGACGCTGCAGCAAACACCTGACCCGACGCAGCTACCTGACCAGACGCAGGGACAGGAGGAGACTCATTGGTCAGTGTGTACAGGCTTGGCCGTTGCGTAAACGTGGCCAGGTGCCGGCCTGTGCAAGCGTCCGAGCAGCGAGTTATCCGCTGACTCGTAGGAGTAAACTGGTGAACCCCCGCATCCTGTAGGTCAGCACCACTCACCAAGTTCGTAGAGAACGAGGGGAGGTAAAGACCAGACAAGGTGCCAGAGGGGGCCGCTGGACATGGGAGGACAGTGGAGAAGTGAGCAAGGGCGGGACCCCCAGAGGGGTCTGCCAGGGAGACTGCAACCGGTCGACCAAGCGGCGTGAGTGTGGTGCGGTCTCGAAAGAAGGAGCGAGAAGCCCCTGAGTCAAGTGTGAAGGTGAGGGAGGCCGGAGCCGGTGCGGTACCTGCGAGCGCAGACTCACCAGCACCTGAGGACATAGACGCACTGGCACCTAGAGCAGCAGCCTCACTGGCACAAAGAGCAGCAACCTCACTAGTACCTAGAGCAGCAGTCTCAATGCCCATGTCGAGCGGGAAACACCGGTAACAGTCACCCTCATCACTAATAGACACAGCGTACATGGGAGAAAGGATAGCATCAAAATCAAGATCATAGATGGCAACTCCCGCCCTAGACAGCTTGCCCTAGCGAGGGATCTCTGTGGCCTCCGGGAACTGGTGACGCCACGCGTCCGTCAGGCGGCCAAAGCAGCGCTGGGTGGGGTGCGCATCCCCACACTGCTCACCCGCACGGTCGCCGGTGCGCAGGACATAGGTGCACGGACCAAAGCCCCCACCCCGCTGGCGTGCAGTGTACCACTCACGGAGCTCCTGAGGGGACAAGGTCTCACGACCGCGCTGCTGCTGCTGGCGCGGACCACCACCGGAGCCACTTCTCTGCGTAGACCCGCGACCAGCTCCACCGCCACCCCCGCCGCCTCCGCCGCCTCCGCCGCCTCCGCCGCCTCCGCTACTACCGCCGCCTCCGCCGCCTCCTGCACCGCCACCACCTCTGGCACCTCCGCTCCCACCGCCACCGTCGCCACCGCCTCCGCCTGCACTGCCGCCACCGACACCTCCACCCTCACCTTTACTCCCACCGCCACCCCCACTCCCCCTGCCGCCTCCACCTCCACCGCCCCCGCTCGCTCCTCTAGTACCCCTGCCCCCCTTGCCCATGCCAGAGCGGCGTCTCCCGCTAGGGGCACACGCCGCACCGACCGACTCAAGACCAAGGAGGTCGGCCGCAGCAGCAAAGGCAACAGAGGGCAGAAGGGGGGAGGGGGAACACCCCTCAAAGATGGGGGTGCGCGGATCACCACGAGAGGCCCCTACAGCGACTATGCTCTTCTCGGCAGCTTGGAGGGACTTCTCGAGGAGGTCAACAGTGAGAGTGGTGGGACAGATTGAGAGGAAGTGGTCCCTGACTACGCGAAGGGAGTCAGGGAGGCGAGTGACTATGTAGTAGAGAGTGATGTATATGGGGGGGGGGGTTCTTGGCGCAGAAGTCAGCACGAAGCGCAGCGCGGTAGCGAGTGTCACTAGTGCGGAGGTGCGTAATGAGGTCAGCGACTGTGGGAAAGGCAGCAAGGTCAAAGAAGAGGTACGGTAGCATGAGACGGCTCAGTGCAGCAGTGGCAGGGGAGGAGTAGCGTGCAACTACAGCGTCGTACAAGGTCTGAGCACTCTTGTACTGGCTAAAGTGCGCACGCTCAGAGGTAGGGAGGTGGCGATGCACAGCAAGACGTGCAGCAGCATCGCGCGTGGCCCACTGTGAGCGAACAGTGGCGTCAGCATCAGCAGTAGGAGCAGGAGAGGCACCAGAGGTGAGGTTAAAGAGGGAGAGACTGTCTGCCTTATCGCACTGTAAGAACAGCTGCAGGTCATCTACCCAGACGTCAAAGTCAATGGCTCGACCCTCGACGTCAAAAGCGAGGACACTAGGGGTAGCCATGACAAAAGTAGACTAGCAGCGCTAACTGTAGAGCAGGGGCAGTGCAGTGACAGAGGCGCTGCGCTCACCAGACAGGGCGGTTCGGCAGCTCGGGTGGCTCGGCAGCAACTGCGGCTCGGCGGCACCCGCGGCTTGGCTCCTCAGCTGCTCAGGCGGCTCGGGCGGCTCGGGCGGCTAGGGTGGCTCGGGCGGCTCGGGTGACTCGGGCGGAACGGGTGGCTCGGGCTGCTGAGCGGCGCGGGCGGCTCGGCTGCGTAGGCGGTTCGGGCGGGGCCGTAGGTAGGGCGACTTGGCCGGGTCGAAGGTAGGGCGACGGGGCCAGGGCCGGGGCGCAGGTAGGGCGACGGGGCCGGGTCGAAGGTAGGGCGACGTGGCCGGGGCTGGGTCGAAGGTAGGGTGACGGGGCCGGGGCCGGGCCGTAGGTAGGGCGACGGGGCCGGGTCGAAGGAAGGGCGACAGGGCCGGGCTGTAGGCAGGGCGACGGGGCCGGGGCTGGGTCGTAGGTAGGGCGACGGGGCCGGGTCGACGGTAGGGCGACGGGGCCGGTGCGCAGGTAGGGCGACGGGGCCGGGGCTCAGGTAGGGCGACGAGGCCGAGGCGCAGGTAGGGCAACGGGGTCGAGGTCGTAGGTAGGGCGACGGGGTCGCTAGGGCGACGAATCAGGGGCCGCTAAGGCGGCGCGACTTGGCCGCTAGGGCGGCTCGACGAAGTCAGAGAAGGGAGCGCGACTCGGGCAGAGCGCGCTCCGGGCAGGAAAAAAAACTTTCGACTTGGTGGGCCCTAGGCACGGTTCCCACGAGGGAACCTGCTCGATACCATGAGAGAATTGAAACGAGAATGAGTGCACTAAGGAATGGAATGTGGTACATAAGTGCAACCCTAGAAATGTGTACCCCATATAGGCTAACCCACTACAGCATACAGAACATTATGATTTGACAAGGGCAAATCTCGGCAGATTGCCTTTGAATGTACCGCGAAATTTCATTGAGGGAAAAATTCACACGAAATTCTTCCGTATTGTAGCTATTCGTTAACGACTATAATAATGAATCCGTAAGAAAAGGGGGGTGTTATAGTGAATCAGCCAAAAAGGGGGGTATAGTAGAAACGAGGTCTATCATAATACCCACCCCGCACAAGCTACCCGGGGGTGTACAATTATGGGGGGGTGTTTTGTCCCGGAGTATACGGTATCGCTTGGCACTTTTCTGTGCTGGGCGCGCTGGCAGCAGCAAAAGTTTTCAACTGTGTACACCGTATTGTCAGAGGTCCACTGGTGATCCCCGATTGATCCTAGGGAAGGGTTACAGGCACGTTGGCCTGGGGGGTTATGGGCGCACTCTGACCCGCTACTTAACAAGCCCTTCTATCCCAATGGTCTAGTGGTTGGGATTCTGAGATGGTATCAGAGCGGTCTCGGGTTCGATTCCCGGTGTATGCACATGTAGGCCGTTGCCGCTGTGCTTAGTCCTGGGCCTCCCAGTCTGGGGGGGTGTCAGTAGATCTTCACTGTGGATGCCCGATTGATCCTGGAGAGGGTTACAGGCGCGTTCGCCTGGGGGGTTATGGGTGCACTGACCCGCTACTGAAACAAGCCCTTTTATCCCAATGGTCTAGTGGTTGGGATTCTGACATGGTATCAGAGCGGTCTTGGGTTCGAATCCCAGTGTGTGCGCTTCGGGCATTCCAGTGCGGGGGGGTGTCAGAGGTCCACTGGTGATCCCCGATTGATCGTAGGGAAGGGTTACAGGCATGTTGGCCTGGGGGGTTATGGGCGCACTAACCCGCTGTCAAACATTTATATGTTTGTGTGGTTCTAGGCTGTAGTGGGTCACACCATAAGGGATACACCAGATTAGGGTTTGACACATATGTACTGTTGTTCCTGCTAGTCAATCACCATTCTCGTTTCTCATTCTGACATGGTATTACGAGCCTAGGTTTCACCTAGGACCGAAACGTTAGGGCCCACCGTTTCCGCTAGCCGCGCCCTCGTGCGCCGCCTTTTCCTGCGCCTCGAGCGCCTCGTTCTTAAGGCCCCCTAAGGCCCTCTCGCGTCGCCCCTTAAGGCCCCTCACGGCCCCTCGCGTCGCCCTCTTACGGCCCCGATCGGCCCCACGCTAGCCTCTCACGGCCCCGTGTGGCCCCGCGCTAGCCTCTTACGGCCCCGATCGGCCCCACGCTAGCCTCTCACGGCCCCCTCAGGCCTCGCGCTAGCCCCCCTACGGCCCCCGTCGGCCCCGCGCTAGCCCCTTACGGCCCCCGAACGGCCCCGCGCTAGCCTCTTACGGCCCCCGAACGGCCCCTCGCTAGCCCCGAATGGCCCCGTGCGGCCCCCGCGCTAGCCTCTCACGGCCCTCCTCAGGCCCCGCGCTAGCCCCCTAAGGCCCCTGACGGCCCCGCGCTAGCCTTCCACGGCCCCCGAACGGCCCTGCGCTAGCCCCGAACGGCCCCCGAACGGCCTCGCCCTCGCCCTTACGGCCCCGCGCTAGCCCCGACCTGCCCTCTCACGGCCCCTCCCGCGCTCGCCCCTCTACGGCCGGGCCGCGCTGCGCGACCCGACCCGAACCGCGCCGCCCTAGCCGAGCCGCGCCGCCCTAGCCGAGCCGCGCCGTCCTAGCCGAGTCGCGCCCTCCTTACCTGACCAGCAGCACCAATCCTGAACTGCTACTGCTACTACTACTGCTACTGCTACTTCTGCTGCTACTACTGCTGCTGCTGCTACTGCTACTGCCACATCTGCTACTGCTACTTCAGCTATGGCTAGCCCTCCAGTTCTCTCGTTCGATACTGAGGGCCGCCCGATTAAGTTTGAGACCTGGCTCGATGATCTACATCTGTTCCTCCAGCTCACTGCCAGAGAGGATATCTCGCTGTACGATCACGCACTAGGCACAGTCCCTGCTCCTGCTACTACTGCTGCTGCTACTGCTCGCTCACAGTGGCAGACTCGCGATGCCCACGCCCGCTTTGCTATTCGCAACTCCCTGCCAGTAGACGAGCGCGAGCACTTTGGCCAGCATCAGACTGCGCACGCCCTGTACACTGCTGTAGTTGCGCGCTACTCCTCCCCGGCCTCAGCTGCACTAGGCCGCCTCTCGCTTCCCTACCTGTTCCCCGACCTGTCCGCCTTCCAGACAGTAGCTGACCTCATCACTCACCTCCGCACTAGTGATGCCCGCTTCCGTGCAGCCATGCCCGCTGAGTTTCTTGCCTCCAACCCTCCCCCGCTCTGGCTCACTCTCTACCACCTAGTCACCCGCCTCCCTGACACTCTGCGTACAGTCAGGGACCACTTCCTAGCTCGCTGCCCCACTGAGCTCACCATTGCCGCCCTAGAGAAGGAACTACTTGCAGCTGAGAAGAGTATTGTAGCTGTAGGTGCCTCTCGTGGCGACCCCCGCACCCCTTTCTTCGAGGGGTGTTCCCCCTCCCCCCTGCTCCCCTCTGTCGCCTCTGCTGCTGCTGTCGACCTCCTTGGTGCTGAGCAGGTCGCCTCTGCGTCCGCTCCCAGCGGGCGCCGCAGCGGCAAGGGCAGGGGAGGCAAGGGCGGTGGGGGTGACGGCGGGGGAGGCGGTGGTGGGGGTGGTGGCGGCGGTGGGGGCGGTGGCGGGGCTGGAGGGGCTAGTGGCAGCGGTGGGGGTGGTGGAGGCAGCGGCGGCGGCGGTGGCCGGGGTGGGGGCGGTGGTGGTGGCGGCAGTGGACGTGGCGGCGGCAGGGGCGGTGGTGGTCGTGGTGGAGGCGGCGGTGGTGGTCGTGGAGGCTCTGGCACTGGCCAGAGCGCGCAGCACCCTCAGTCCTCCCAGGAGCTTCGTGAGTGGTACTTACAGCACGGGGGTGGGGGGGGTAGCCTTAGCTGCACGTACGTCATCCGCACTGGTCGCCGCAAGGGACAGACGTGCGGGAGGGCGCACACTCCGCAGCGCTGCTTCTCTCGCCTAGATGACGCTTGGCGTGCTCAGTTTCCTGACGCTCCTGAGCTCCCTCAGTGGGCTGATCTCCTCAAGAAGGATATCGATATCTATGCTCTTGATTTTGATGTTATTCTCAAAGCAATGTATGCATTGACTATTAGTGGAGAGGAGGACCAGTACCTGAGTGTTCCGCCTGACCCAGGCATCCGCATGAGTGAGGCCGCCGCCCTAGGTGCTTGCGTGTCTGCTGCCCCAGGTGCTGGTGAGGCTACTGCTCTAGGTGCTTGTGTGTCTGCCACCCCAGGTACTACTGAGTCCACTGAGGCACTGCACACCTTCACTCTAGACTCAGGCGCCTCGCGCTGTTTCTTTCGTGACCGCACTGCTCTTGAGCCCCTTGCTCGACCAGTCGCTGTCTCGCTCGCTGACCCCTCTGGGGGTCCGGTCATTGCGACCTCCTCCACTGTCCTTCCTTGTCCTGCTGTCCCGTCGGGCACACTGTCAGGTCTCCACCTCCCCTCGTTCTCTACGAACTTGGTGGCGGGTTGTGCGCTTCAGGATGGGGGTGTTCACCAGTTCACCCCTGCCTACGAGCGTGTGACACACTGCACGTGTGCTCGGACGGGCCGTCACCTGGCTACCTTCACTCGGCAGCCGGGGTCGGACCTGTACACACTGACCACTGAGTCCCCTCAGGTAGCGGCGTTTGCGTCTGCGTCTGCGTCAGGTCAGCTGTCTGCCCCCTGCTCGTGTCGCTCTCTAGCGCACAAGACTGTCCTCTGGCACCACCGACTTGGTCACCCGTCAGTGCAGCGCCTTCGGGGCATGCACGCCCGGTACCTTGTCTCTGGTCTTCCTCGGGTACTCCCTCCCCTCCCGCCCTCCCTTGCTCCTCCTTGTCTTCCCTGTGTCGAGGGGCGGCAGCGCGCTGCCCCTCACTCCTCCTCGTTCCCCCCGACGACTGCTCCTTTGCAGACGCTCCACATGAACGTGTGGGGCCCAGCCCGCGTCCGTGGTCAGGGCCAGGAGAGGTACTTCTTGATCGTCGTTGACGACTACTCGCGCTACACCACGGTCTTCCCCTTGCGCACCAAGGGTGAAGTCCCTGATGTTCTGATCCCTTGGATCAGCAGAGCACGTCTTCAGCTGCGAGAGCGTTTTCGCTCGGAGTTTCCTGTCCTGCGCTTGCACTCTGACAGAGGTGGCGAGTTCTCCTCCGACCTCTTGGCAGCCTACTGCGCCGAGCACGGCATTCGCCAGTCGTTCACGCTTCCGGCCTCTCCACAGCAGAATGGGGTTGCTGAGCGCCGCATTGGCTTGGTCATGGAGGTCGCTCGTACCTCCTTAGTCCACGCGGCTGCCCCCCACTTTCTGTGGCCGTTTGCGGTCCGGTACGCTGCGCACCAGCTCAACCTCTGGCCCCGTGTCTCCGCTCCGGAGACCTCGCCCACACTGCTGTGGACGGGGGAGGTTGGCGATGCGTCACGCTTCCGTGTCTGGGGATCCCGAGCTTTTGTTCGCGACACGTCTGCGGACAAGCTCTCCTCCCGCACTGCTCCCTGTGTCTTTCTTGGCTTTGTCCCGGATGCGTCTGGCTGGCAGTTTTACCACCCCGCCTCGCACCGAGTCTTCCCCTGTCGTTGCTGAGCCTGGTGGTGTTGCAGTTGACTGTGAGGCGCCTGGAGGACCTCCCTCTTCGCAGCAGCTGCGTGAGTGGTACTCACGGTACTGCAGCCGCCGGCGGGGTACGTCTCGGGCTCGTGGTACTGCTGGAGCTGGTACTCGTGTTTCCCCTCCACGGCGGGAGCCGCCCTCTTCCCCTCAGCTTCGAGAGTGGTACGCTCGGCACATCAGTCTCCGTAGTGGAGCTGCTGGTGCTGGGGTCCCCGGAGTTGACGCTGCTGCGGGTACTACGGACCCTGGTGCTGGAGGTGCTGCTGCTGCTGGTGGTGCTGCTGGAGGTGCTGCTAGTCCTGAGGACCCGGGAGTTGGAGCTGCTGCTGCTGGCGGTACTGCTGGAGGTACTGCTAGTACTGAGGACCCGGGCGTTGGAGCTGCTGTGGGTGCTGCGGACCCTGGTGCTGGCGGTGCTGCTGCTGCTGGCGGTGCTGCTGGAGGTACTGTTGCTCCTAGAGGTGCTGCTGTTGCCGCTGGTGTCTCTGCTGGTTCGCGAGCTGCTGCACGGCCACGGCCGTACTTCGTTCCGCTCCTTCAGCAGGTTCTTGGTCAGCCTCCTCCTCCTTGTTCTCCTCTCGCCTTAGAGTGTCCGCCGTCTGTCCAGTCACAGCCACAGTTACCGCCTGCCTCCCCACTACCTGTGCCTGCTCCTTACACTGGTCCGACTGGAGGTCTTGCTGAGAGACGTGAGCCTGCGTCACGTCCTGTGTCACCTGCGTCTCGTCGAGCGTCGCCTGTTCGTGCTGCTACCACTGGTAGTCGTGTCTCGCGTCAGCGTCCTCCTGCTGTCCCAGGCACTCACCAGATGGCGCTTCGTCAGTCCACCGCTCCGCAGCGTGTCGCTCTCCCGTCGCCTCCTGCGTCCTCTCTTCCTGCTCTTGCTGACCCGGAGTCAGACACCCTTCGCGCTGCCAGTCCTACTGTCACACGTCTCCTGGCTACAGTTGTCACTGACCCTTCCTTTGAGTCCGCTGCTGCGTCTGCCTTAGTCACTGAGCTTGTCGACTTTGCAGCTGCGTGTCGTCTAGACTACGCTGCGAGTCTTGTTGCTGAGTCTGAGTCTGTCTGTCCTCCGTCCGTCGGGGGTGAGTGTGCTCTTGGCACGGACGTTCTTGAGGACAGGCAGGAGGAGTTTGGTTGCCTTGCCGCTGCTTTGCCCCATCTCGTGTCCATGCTTGTTGCCCCTGAGGGAGACCCGGATGCACCAGACATCTCGACCCCACGCTCTTACGCAGAGGCGATGGCCGGTCCCTACTCCTCTCAGTGGCAGTCAGCCATGGACACAGAGATGGCTTCCTGGAAGTCCACAGGCACCTACGTCGATGAGGTTCCCCCACCTGGGGCGAACATCGTCAGTGGCATGTGGATTTTCAGGGTGAAGCGGCCGCCGGGCTCTCCGCCTGTCTTCAAGGCGCGTTACGTTGCACGAGGCTTCAGTCAGCGAGAGGGAGTTGACTTCTTCCAGACCTTCTCCCCGACCCCGAAGATGACCACTCTTCGGGTTCTGCTACACGTCGCTGCTCAGCGTGACTACGAGCTCCACTCTCTTGACTTCAGCACAACTTTCTTGCAGGGCAGCCTGCACGAGGAGATCTGGCTGCGCCGCCCACCTGGCTTCACTGGGTCGTTCCCTCCTGGCACCCAGTGGAGCCTCCGGCGGCCAGTCTACGGTCTCCGCCAGGCGCCGCATGAGTGGCACGACACACTGAGGACTACACTTTCGGCTCTTGGGTTTGCTCCTTCTACTGCTGACCCGTCGCTGTTTCTGCGCACCGACACCTCGCTGCCGCCGTTCTACATCCTCGTGTACGTCGACGACTTGGTCTTTGCCACTGCGGACACTGCCGCACTCGCCCACGTGAAGTCCGAGCTGCAGAAGAGACACACGTGCACAGACCTGGGTGAACTGACAAGCTATCTTGGCTTGCGGATCACCCGGGACAGAGCACGCCGCACCATTACCCTGACTCAGTCACACATGGTGCAGCAGGTCCTTCAGCGCTTTGGCTTCACGTACTCCTCGCCTCAGTCCACTCCTCTGCCTACGGGTCACTCGCTCTCAGCTCTGCCTTCGGATGAGTCCGTAGAGTCGAGTGGTCCGTATCCAGAGCTTGTGGGCTGCCTCATGTACCTGATGACCTGCACTCGACCTGACCTAGCATACCCTCTCAGCATCTTAGCACGCTATGTTGCTCCCGGCCGTCACCGGAAGGAGCACATGGATGCAGCTAAGAGGGTATTGCGCTACTTGTGCAGTACGTCGGGCATGGGGCTAGTGCTTGGAGGGCGAGACCGGCCTGTTCTCACTGGGCACTCAGACGCTTCTTGGGCAGACGACCAGGCTACTCAGCGGTCGTCTCAGGGTTACACCTTCAGTCTTGGCTCTGGCTCTGTCTCTTGGCGTTCTACTCGTTCTTCCTCTGTTCTCAGCTCCAGCTGTGAGGCTGAGATCTACGCCACGGCCATGGCTGCCCAGGAGCTTCGCTGGCTCACCTACCTGCTGACTGACCTTGGAGAGCAGCCTCGTTCTCCTCCAGTGCTGTACGTCGACAACAAGGCAACCATTGCCTTGTGCCAGGAGCACAGACTGGAGCACAGGACGAAGCACATTGCTCTGCGTTACTTTCTAGCTCGAGAGCTACAGCAGCGTGGTCAGCTTCTTCTGCGTTACGTGGCCACTAAGGCCAACACTGCTGATGTGTTCACCAAGGCGCTTCCGCCTGTTGACCATCAGCGTTTTTGCACTCTTCTAGGCCTTGTGCCGACTGTTTCTCACTTACTTACTTCTTGACTTTGCCTGTACTGTGATCATTATATATATATACCTGCATGTTTGCCTTGCTAGGTTGTGATCATTGTACCTCTTGCTCTATTATAAAACTGCATGTGAACTGGTCTTGTGACCGCTTGCTTGTGCTCGGAATTTGTGTGGAATCCTCGAGATCCACCCTGAGCTTGTTTTGTCTTGACTGGTCTTGTGACCCCTAGGTCTCCCCCACTTTGCCTATGGGGGTGTGTCAAACATTTATGTTTGTGTGGTTCTAGGCTGTAGTGGGTCACACCATAAGGGGTACACCAGATTAGGGTTTGACACATATGTACTGTTGTTCCTGCTAGTCAATCACCATTCTCGTTTCTCATTCTGACACCCGCTACTTAAACAAGCCCTTTTATCCCAATGGTCTAGTGGTTGGGATTCTGACACGTATGTGCGCGGAATATTTTCTCCTAAAGTTGTAGTCTCGAAATTTCGACTCGGTTTGGCAAGGGAAATGATGTGCGGTTCTGCTGAAGTGGTACAAGACTCATATGTGACAAGGCTTTCGTTTGCACCAATTCGCTTTTCGCCATGTGCGATTCGCTAAAATCGTTTTGGCCATGTGCGATTGGCTATCTAGTTTCACAATTTAAGGGTTTTTATAAGCCCCCAATAAATTCCACTCTCGTGATAGCGTCGACAAAGTAGTGTATTCTGGTGCCCCTACTCGAGCAGTTTCATCCGGAGGAAATCGTTAGTGCTGGCCCGTACACACGTGGGTGTATCGAAAAGAATTTTCGAGGAAGTTTCGTTGCGATAACCTTTCATTCAGGCTGGCGGAAACCCCTGTATAACTGGCTTCAGAGTGGACCCCCGATACAAGTCTGAGGCTCAGCGTGCACTACTATTGTTAACAGCTATAACGTTATGCGGAAGCGATTAGCGCTTGAAATACAAACTTTGCTTGGCAACACTTAACTTCACTTGCAGCCCTTCGAGTGTGACAGCTTGTCACCTCCTAGCCAAGGGCGTGAAAATAGCAAGTGAGTAGTTATGCCTTGCTCAGCTTGTAGGACGAGCAAACTGGTCGAGGAGAATTTCGGCAGCACCAAGGTAATCTTTCTACTCTCGTCAATACGAAGTACCGTATACCCCCGGACAAAACACCCCCCCATAATTGTACACCCCCGGGTAGCTTGTGCGGGGTGGGTGTTATGATAGACCTCGTTTCTACTATACCCCCCTTTTTGGCTGATTTTCTATAACACCCCCCCTTTTCTTACCGATTCATTATTATAGTCGTTAACGAGTAGCTGCAATACGGAAGAATGTTGTGTGAATTTCTCACTCAATGAAATTTCGCGGTACATTCAAAGGCAATCTGCCGAGATTTGCCCCCTCCCACTATTTCTCTGTCGCCACGTGCAGGTGAATCTTCCGTTGCAAGTGGCAAGAGAGGTGCCACATGCCATTTTCGTGGGGGTTGTTACGAACAATAATATTTGATATTACTGAACACTCCTCACCGCAGCAAAGGAACACGCAATATCGGGAATGAACGCGAAGCGTCAGACGGTTGGAAGGAATCGAAGAGTCGGACGGCTACAGCACATCTGGACCGTCGGGAGCAGACGGCATCTGGCAGCTGCAGGCAGGAAGGTTTTGGCGGGAACAGTTACGAAACTGTACGCGCTGAACGGTTGGGATGCATTTGAATAAGGGAATGTACCCCTATAGTACATGGCTAGTTAGGTCGTTTCGAATTCCCCTGTACTCATATTTATATTCCTTGTACTGCATGTTTTTATTATCTCAAGCATCTACATTCACTCTGCTATTGAGGTTAAGGGCCCACCACCACTTCACTAGAACTGTGCGAACCTTCCTGAGGTGATCCTGGTTACGATCCCTTTCTGATCGCAACATGGTATGAGAGCGACTCAGGAATCCTTCGCACTGCCATCTCTGAAAACTGCGACATTCGGAAAGTGGCGTCCGGCACACGATCACGTGTAAGAATGGCCGGAGGATCTGGAGGTCAGACAAATCTGACGGCTGAAGCGCAGCCCAACCCGGCTGCGACGAACGAGGAAACGACGACGATTCCTTCCGCTGTCCTCGCACAAGTGCTTCAGCGACTCACAAGCTTGGAGCAAGGGCTCCAGACATTGCGGAATGGCGATGTGGGAACTTCTTCCCAACCCACTCAACCGGCCTCAAACGGCCAGAATTCTGCCCCGCAAGGCTTCTCCCTTGACACAAATGGCTCAACACCCAAGACTCCCTGTCCCAGCGACGAAGCAATTCTCTCTGCGCAATCAAGGTTTTTGAGCATATAAAAAATAAAGACAAGTGTGTGCTTTGACGGCAGAGACTTTTACACCTGGAGCTTCGAGCTGGAGCTACTGCTGCAAAACGCGCAGATTTATCATTACTTTGACGGGAGCTACTCGGGACCTACGGAGGACACTGACGACGCAAGAACCAAGTACTACAACGAGTCCCTGATGGCGTACGGAGTTCTCCTGCGAAATATATCGCCGACGGAGCAATTGAGCATTCGCTCATACAAGACTTCTCTAGCTCCCGCCCTCAACGCCTGGCGCCACCTAAACGGTGTGTACCAGCCCAAGGACTCAGTGTCGTCGAGCCGCCTGCTCCAGCAGCTATTGGAGACCAAGATGGCACCAGGAGAGAAGGCCAACAACTATCTGAATCGCTGTCGGAGCTTACGCGATCAAATCGCGAAACTGAGGAGCATGATTTCTGAAGAAATCTTCGTAAATATCGTGCTCCAAGGGCTCGGACCCGAGTGGCGGCCCTGCAAGGTGCTGCTCCGACAGCAAGGGGTCATCTCGGAGGCCGCCCTTTGCGCCGCCCTTCTCGTCGAACAAAGGGATATGGACCAGCAGCGACCAGCGCCGCGACGAGAACGGGAGCGCCTCGCATTCTTCGCCGACAACACAGAAGAGCGACGGCTGTGGCGCCTCTACTGCAAAATCTGCAGAAATTTTGGGCACTTGGCGGATCGATGCAAGCATCGATCTCGCCCTCACCAGACCAATCCGAGCAACTGGTCCGGCCGACAAGACGCAAGAAACGACACGTGTCCCGCCCAGGGGTATCAACCCCCTTCGCGCAACTTGAATTCAACATCTCAGCAGCAGTAGCAGCCATCACAGGCCACCCCCGTCCGCAACGTCATGGGGAACATGACCATGACGAGTGGCTCTCGTCGACCGCGCACACGCTCACTCTCGCCTGAGCCTGCGCCCGACCCAATCGAGGCGTCTGCGAACAACAATCCGTTCAGCACACGTCACGACTACAGCGACGATGACAACCAGGACAGTAATCTGCCAGTCCCGCTGCTTGAGAGCCCTCCGCACGTACCTGACATGCGGCCGGCACCGATCGACTGGATCGCGCGCGAACAATTTCTTAAGGTTAACACTCCGCACATCGTCACTCTGCGACTGGCGCTGCTCGCGCAAAACGATAACAGGCGCTACAACAACTGGTACCTAGATAGCTGCTGCGGGCAGCACATGGTGGGCCCCGAGCGTTACATATCCAACGCCGTGGCCACCCCCGAAGTCACCTACGTCACAGTGGCGAACAACACGCGGCTGCGCGCAAGCGCGCAAGGCATCGTGGTGCTCAAGGCACGAGGGAGCCGAACGCACATCACACTTAACGACGTATTAATTGTGCAAAACCTACGCTTTAATTTGCTCTCGGTGGCGCAACTCCTAGATTGCGGAGTCATTCTCAGCACCGACCCCAAGACGCGTGACATCCTGCTCCACTTCACGATGCCGAACAAGAAGCGCAAGCAGATCGGACGAGCGCGCGCCAAAAACGGCGTATACGTTCTCGACTTCGACATCCCCGACTGCAGCGGCGACTCGCAGGAGTTAATCGACCTTGTCCCTCTGCGCTTCAAACACATCCTTCGCCGCGACTGGAAGCACCCTGATGGGCGCCCCTGGGTGCCACACCACCCGCACCCGCGTGAACTCGCGCTACACGACCCCGATCCCGACGGCATCTGTAGGGACTGCCACACGCCGACTTCTTCGACGAGCGCCATTGCTGGCCGTGGCCTTGCCGCCATTAGCGAAGCAGAGCGCGACGCACCACCTAAGGAGGGCCTCTCACAGCAGGAGCTGGAAACAGTCACACGAGTCGTCTTCGGCACACCGGAACACCCTCTCCCCGGACCCGCATCTCAGCACCTCAAAGGCATGCTCCGCGGCGTCGCCGTCGGTACCTTCGACGCTCATGGGAACCCTCGGCCCTACACCGAAAAGAAGGCGGCAGAGATATACGCTCACCGGCGTGATTCGAAGAAACGACTCTCCCCTTTGGAAGAGGAAGCATTGGCGCAACGCGAAGCCGAAGAACTTCGTCAGAAGAGCCTCGCCGAGGCACGCGGAACGCTCGCCTGGGAGCGGGACGAAAAGAAAGCCTCCAGTGAAGGGGGGTGGGGGAGCCAGCGGATGGGGATCGAGCGACACAAGCGGCTGGGGTGCCGCGACAAGCGGTTGGGGCGACGCAACCGGCGGATGGGGCGCCGCACAAGGCGGCGAAACAAGCAGCTGGGGAGCTTTTCTCGAGGACCAAAGGGGGGGAGCGGAAGCAGAACCTGCGCAAGGTGAGGATGAACCTCCTATTGTCCCTCTCGGACGCCCTCCGCGCCGCCCTGCATTAGGACCTCCGCCTCCCGATATTCCTTCAGGAAGTGACCCCTGGGACACCATCGACTGGGGTAGTGAACCACTCACCCCGCGCCGCACGGTCTACGGACCTGCCCCTGAACCACGCGAACCAACACTTGTACTCGGCACGATCCCCGAAACAAACATCCCCTACTCCATCATCCGCGACAGAGAGTTTCTCGCCCTCATGCTAACGACGTCGAACGAGGACGAAGAAGGAAATGAGGAAGCAACTCCCACACCTGCACCAGCACCTGACAAAGACCCCGCAGCTGCACTTGCGCGCTACATGCGCACCTCCGGATTCCGCGCCGACGACGACATCTGGCATCAGCGCTTAGGTCACCCTTCGCGCACGACTCTGAAGAACTGCATCGAAGCCGGCGTCTTCGCACCTGGCGCACTGCTGCGCCCTGATGGCTCCGAAGTGAGAGGCGGAACTCACCCGCGCAATTGCACTGTCTGCCCCGAAGCCGCGCTGAGTCACCAGCCCTTCCCCCTACTCTAGCCAAGGAACAATCGCTACGCCAAGTTAGAGAAGGTTTACAGTGATTTCCTCAACGTAGTGTCAGATCTATATGACATAGCTGCTGTAGGCTATAGTGTGGTAGCACATATGGGGTACAACTTTCTAGGGTTTGTACTTGTACCCAACTTTCCCTTAGTCATTTCATTCTCGTTCATTTTCACATGGTATAGAGCAGGTTCCCCTGTGGGAACTGTTCCTAGGGCCCACCAACTTTTTTTTCCTGCCCGGAGCGCGCTTAGACTCTGCCCGAGTTGCGCTCCCCTCTCACGGCCCCGTCGCGCCGCCCTTACGACCCCGTCGCGCCGCCTTAGCGGCCCCGTCGCGTCGCGCCTCCCTAGCGGCCCCGTCGCGTAGCCCTTGCGACCGCGTCGCGCCGCCCTCGCGGCCCAGTCACATCGCGCCACCCTAGCGGCCTCGTCACGCCGCCCTCGCAGACCCGATCCGCAGCCTCCGCGGCCCCGTCGCGTCGCGCCGCCCTCGCGGCCCTTTCGCGCCGCCCTTGCGGCCTCGCGACCCCTCCCAGCCGCCCTAGCGGCTCCGTCGCCCCACCCTCGCGGCCCCGGCGCCGCTCTTACCGGCCCAGGCGCCGCCCCTACCGGCCCCTTATGGCCCCTTTGCGGCCCGCCGTCGCCGCCTCCAGCAGCAGCCGCCGCCGTCCCTACAGCAGCAGCCGCCGCCGCCATCTCTGCAGCAGCGGCCGCCGCCGCCGTCTTTGAAGCAGCGGCCGCCGTCGCCGCCTCCTACAACGGCGCCGCCTACTGCAGCGGCGACCACCGCTGTACCTGCAGCAGCCGCGCCGCTTGAGCCGCCGAGCCGCCCGAGCAGCCGAGCCGCCCGAGCTGCCGAGCCGCCGTTCCAGCTGAGCCGCCCGAGCCGCCGAACCGCCCGAGCCGCCGAGCCGCCCGAGCCGCCGAGCCGCCGAGCTACTGGTGCTGCCGAGCTGCCGAGCCGCCGAGCCGTCCGAGCCGCCCTGTCCTCTACACTCGGTCCTTCTCTCCTGCCCAGTAAGAGCGGCACCTCTACTACTGCGCTGCCCTTAGCCTACTGCTCGCACTGCTAGTCTACTGCTATCATGGCTACCCCCAGTGTCCTCGCGTTTGACGCTGAGGGTCGGGCCATTGACTTTGACGTCTAGGTAGATGACCTCCAGCTTTTCCTAAAGTGCGATAGGGCAGACGGTCTCTCCCTCTTTGACCTCACTTCTGGTGCCTCTCGTGACCCTGCTGCTGATGGTGACGCCACTGTTCGCTCACAGTGGGCCACACGCGATGCTGCTGCACGTCTTGCTGTGCGTCACCACTTGCCTACCTCTGAGCGTGCGCACTTTAGCTAGTACAAGAGTGCTAAGGCCTTGTACGACATTGTAGTTGCATGCTACTCTTCCCCTGCCACTGCTGCACGTAGCCACCTCATCCTGCCGTACCTCTTCCCTGACCTCGCAGCTTTTCCCACAGACGCTGACCTCATTACGCACATTTGCACTTGTGACATTCGCTACCGCGCTGCCCTTCCCGCTGAGTTCTGCGCCGAAAACCCCGCCCCTATGTACATCACCCTCTACTACATAGTCACCCGCCTCCCTGACACCCTTCGCCCGGTCAAGGACCACTTCCTCTCTGTTTGCCCCACCACCCTCACCGTTGACCTCCTCGAGGAGCGTCTCCTAGCAGCAGAGAAGAGCATAGTGGCTGTAGGAGCCTCTCGTGGTGACCCTGACGCCCCTGTCTTTGAGGGATGCTCCCCCTCTCCTCTCTTGCCCTCTGTTGCCTCTGCTGCTGCGGCCGACCTCGTTGGTCTCGAGTCGGTCGGTACGGCGTCTACCCCTGGCGCAAGACGCCGCACTTGCAAGGGCAAGGGGGGCAGGGGCGCTGGAGGAGCTAGCGGGCGCGGTGGAGGCGGCGGTGGAGGCGGCGGTGGAGGCGGCGGAGGGGGTGGGGGTGGCGGTGGGGGTGGTGGCGAGGGTGGAGGCGTCGGTGGCGGCAGTGGAGGCGGAGGCGGCGGTGATGGTGGCGGTGGGAGCGGAGGTGGCGGAGGTGGCGGCGGTGGAGGAGGCGGCGGCGGAGGAGGTGGAACTGGTCGGGGTGGCGCTGCGCAGAGGGTCGGCTCCAGTGGTGGTCAGGGCCAACAGCAGCAGCAGCAGTAGTAGCGCACTCGTGAGATCCCCCCCCCTCAGCAGCTTCGTGAGTGGTATGCTGCACGCCAGCGGGGTGGGGGTACTGGTCCATGCACCTACGTCCTACGCACCAACGACCGCGCGGGTGAGCAGTGTGGGGGTGCGCACTCCACTCAGCGCTGCTTTGGCTGCCTGACGGACGCTTGGCGTCACCAGTTCCCTGAGGCCACTGAGATCCCTCGCTGGGGCGAGCTGTCTAGGGCGGGAGTAGCTATCTTTGACCTTGACTTTGATGCTATTCTTGCTGCCATGTATGCTGTGACTATTAGTGATGAGGGTGATTGTAACCGGTGTTTTCCGCCCGACCCGGGCATTGGGACTGGTGCTCTAGGTATAGGTGAGGCTGCCGCTCTAGGTGCTAGCGAGGCTGCTGCTCTAGGTGCTAGTGCGTCTGCTTCCTCAAGTGCTGGTGAGTTTGCTCTCTCAGGTACTGCGTCGGCTTCGGCCTCCCACACCTTCACCCTTGACTCGGGGGCTTCTCGCTCCTTCTTTTGAGACCGCACCACACTCACGCCGCTTGGTCGGCCAGTTGCAGTCTCTTAGGCAGACCCCTCTGGGGGTCCTATCCTTTCTCACTTCTCCACTGTCCTTCCGTGTCCGGCGGCCCCCTCTGGTACCCTGTCCGGTCTTTACCTCCCCTCGTTCTCTACGAACTTGGTGAGTGGTGCTGACCTACAAGATGCGGGGGTTCACCAGTTCACTCCTGCGAGCCAGCGGGTGACCCATTGCACGGACGCTCGGACAGGCCGACACTTGGCCACGTTTACACGTCGACCGGGGTCAAGCCTGTACACGCTGACCACTGAGTCTCCTCCAGTCACTACGTCTGGTCAGGTAGCTTCGTCGGGTCAGGTGTTTGCTGCAGCATCCAGGTCTGGTCCTGAGTCTGCCCCCTACTCGTGTCGCCTCCTGTCTCACGAGACTCTCCTCTAGCACCACCGCCTTGGTCACCCCTCCCTACTTCGTCTCCGAGGCATGGCCTCCCGTGTCCTTGTCTCTAGTCTTCCCCGGTCCCTCCCTCCCCTTCCTCCGGGGCCTGCCCCCACATGCGTCCCCTGTGTCGAGGGGTGGCAGTGGGCTGCCCCTCACTCCTCCCAGTTTCCTCCGACAGAGGCCCCGCTGCAGACGCTTCACATGGACGTGTGGGGCCCGGCCCGCGTCCGTGGACAGGGTCACGAGCGCTACTTCCTGCAGGTGGTTGACGACTACTAGCGTTACACCACAATCTTCCCCTTGCGCAGCAAGGGTGATGTCACTGAGGTGTTGATCGACTGGATCCGCGCAGCTTGTCTCCAGCTCAGGCAGAGCTTCGGCTCGGACTTTCCTGTTCTGCGTCTGCACTCTGACAGAGGCGGAGAGTTCTCCTCTGGCCTTCTGCGAGCCTACTGTCGTGCACGAGGCATCCGCCAGACCTTCACGTTTCCGGACTCTCCACAGTAAAATGGGATTGGTCAGTGCCGCATTGGCATGGTCATGGACGTCGCCCGTACGTCCATGATGCATGCGGTTGCCCCCCATTTTCTGTGGCCGTTTGCTGTTCAGTACGTGGCGCATCAGATCAACCTTCAGCTCAGGGTCTCCATGCTGGAGACCTCCCCAACTTTGCTGTGGACGGGGAAGGTTGGCGATGCGTCTGCGTTCCGGGTCTGGGGATCTTGGGCGTTTGTCCGCGACTTGTCTGCGCAGGCCAGGGGGTGCTGGGTCTGCTCGTGCGGACCAGGCTACGCAGGCTCCGCCGGTGACTGAAGGACTAGCAGCACGAAGGGAGTCAGACTCCGGGTCAGAAAGAGAAGGAAGAGAGGACTCTGGAGGAGACGGCAACGGGACACGCAGAGGAGCAGTGGAAGGACGCAGTGCCATCTGGTGTGTGCCGGCGACCGCAGGAGGATGCGGACGTGCAGTACGACCACTAGTGCGAGCAGCACGAACAGGTGACGCTAGACGAGACGCAGGCTCACGACACTCAGCAAGACCTCCAGTAGGACCAGTGTTGGGAGAAGGAGCAGGTAGAGGGGAGGCGGGCGGTAACTGTGAATGCGACTGGACAGGCGGTGGACACTCTAGGGGAGGAGCTGGACCAGTAGAGGGCGGGAGACCAAGAACCTGCTCCAGGAGCGGAACGAAGTACGGCCTCGGCCGCTCAACGCCTCCAGAACCAGCAAGTACGGCACCAGTACCCCCAGTGGCAGCACCAGCGCCAGCAGAACCTCCAGCTCCAACAGCGCCAACTCTAATACCCTCAGAAGCACCAGCGCCAGCAGCACCGCCAGCGCCAACACCCCCAGCAGCTCCAGCTCCAGCAGCACCAACTCCAGTAGGACCGTCAGCACCAGCTGCCTCTGCAGCACCCCTAGACGCACCAGCACCAGTAGAAACACCAGCGCCAACACCCCCAGCAGGTCCAGCTCCAGCAGCACCAACTCCAGTAGGACCGTCAGCACCAGCTGCTTCAGCAGCACCCCCAGACGCACCAACACCAGTAGAAACACCAGCGCCAACACCCCCAGCAGCTCGAGCAGTACCCCTAGACTCAGCAGCATGTCTCCAGTGGCGGACAAACCACACGCGCAGCTCCTGTGGAGAGAGCGGTTCCCGCCTCAACGAAGTACTGCCGGCGGCCACACGAGCAGACCAAGCACTCCCTGGCTCCGCACCCCCAGACTCAGCACCCCCAGGCTCAGCACCCTCAGGCTCAGTACCTCAAGTCTCAGCACCTAGATATTGGTGAGTCTGCTCTTTCAGGTACCACGTCGGCTCAGGCCTCACACACCTTTACCCTTGACTCGGGTGCTTTCACCCTTTCGAGACCGCACCACGCTTACGCCGCTTAGTCGGCCAGTTGCGGTCTCCCTGGCGGACCCCTCTGGGGGTCGTGTCCTTGCCCGCTTCTCCACTGTCTTACCGTGTCCGGCAGCCCCCTCTGGCACCCTGTCAGGTCTCTACCTCCCCTCGTTCTCTACGAACTTGGTGAGTGGAGCTGATCTACAGGATCGGGGGGTGGACCACTTCACGCCTGCGAGTCAGCGGGTGACCCATTGCACGTGTGCTCGGACAGGTCGACACTTGGTGACGTTTACCCGTCAGCCGGGGTCGAGGCTGTACACACTTACTACTCAGTCTCCTCCGGTTGCTGAGTCTGGTCAGGTAGCTGCGTCGGGTCAGGTGTTTGCTGCAGCGTCCAGGTCTGGTCCTGAGTCTGCTCCCTGCTCGTGTCGTCTCCTGTCCCACCGGACTCTCCTCTGGCACCACCGCCTTGATCACCCCTCCCTGCCTCGTCTCCGAGGCATGGCCTCCTGTTACCTTGTCTGTGGTCTCCCCCGGTCCCTCCCTCCCCTTCCTCCAGGGCCTGCCCCTACCTGCGTTCCCTGTGTCAAGGGGCGGCAGCGCGCCAACCCCTCACTCCTCCGAGTTTCCTCCGACAGAGGCTCCGCTTCAGACTCTTCACATGGACGTGTGGGGCCCCGCCCGCGTCCGTGGCCAGGGTCACGAGCGTTACTTCCTGTTGGTGGTTGACGACTACTCGCGTTACACCAAGGTGTTCCCCGTGCGCAGCAAGGGTGACGTCACTGAGGTGTTGATCGACTAGATCCGCGCGGCTCGTCTCCAGCTCAGAGAGAGTTTCGGCTCGAACTTTCCTGTTCTGCGTCTGCACTCTGTCAGAGGCGGGGAGTTTTCTTCTGCCCTTCTGGGAGCCTTCAGTCGTGCACAGGGCATCCGCCAGACGTTTACGCTTCCGGCCTCTCCAGAGCAAAATGGGATTGCTGAGCGCCGCATTGGCATGGTCATGGACGTCGCTCGTACGTCCATGATCCATGCGGCTGCTCCCCATTTTCTGTGGCCGTTTGCGGTTTGGTACGCGGCGCATCAGATCAACCTTCAGCCCCGGGTCTCCTTGCCGGAGACCCCCCCCACCTTGCGGTGGACGGGGAAGGTTGGCGATGCGTTTGCGTTTCGTGTTTGGGGATCTCGGGCGTTTGTCCACGACTTGTCTGCGGACAAGCTGTCCCCCCGTGCTGTTCCCTGCGTCTTCCTTGGCTTCCCCCCAGACGCGCCTGGTTGGCAGTTTTACCACCCCACCTCGCGCCGTGTTCTGTCCTCCCAGGACGTCACCTTTGACGAGTCGGTTCCTTACTACCGACTCGTCCCCTACCGCACTGCGCCCCTCCCCCCGCCACCGCTGTTCCTTGCGCCAGGTCCCCCCCCGGTAGACCCTCTCCCCCTTTAGGGTCCTGCCCCATCAGGTGTGTCCCAGGTAGACGCAGACGAGCCTGTCGAGGTAGCTGTTTACTTTGGTGCTGCTAGGGGTGCTGGGCCTTGGGGTGCTGAGTCTAGGGGTGCTCAGCGTGGGGGTGCTGAGCCTAGGGGTGCTGAGCCTGGGGGTGCGGAGCCTGGGGGTGCGGAGCCTTGGGGTGCTGAGCCTGGGGTTGCGGAGCATGGGGGTGCGGAGCCTGGGGGTGCTGGGCCTGGGGGTGCTGAGCCTGGGGGTGCGGAGCCTGGGGGTGCTGAGCCTGGGGGTGCGGAGTCTGGGGGTACTTGGTATGCTCGTGTGGCTTCTGGCGGTGCTGGGTCTGGGGTTCCTTCTGGTGCTTTGTCTCGGCGGGAGCTACCTTTTCCACAGGAGCTGCGCGAGTGGTTTGCCTGGCGCTGGAGCCGTGCTGCTAGAGCTAGAGGTGCTACTGTTGCTGCTGACCCTGGGGTCGGCGCTGGAGGTACTGGAGACCCCGGTCCTGGAGGTGCTTGTACTGGCGGTACCGGAGCTGCTGGGACTGGGGGTGCTGCTGGGGCTACTAGAGTTGGTCCTGCTAGAGGTGCTGCGGGTGGTGCTGGAGGTACTGGAGCTGCTGGAGGTGTTGGCGCTGGGGGTGCTTCTGGCGTTGGTAGTTCTGAGGGTGCTGGAGTTGGCTCTGCTGGAGCTAGAGGTGCTGCTGGCGCTGGTGCTGCCACTTGGGGTACTGGTGCTGTCTCTGCTGTTTCATGAGGCGCTGAGCGGCCGCGGCCGTACTTAGTTCCGCTCCTTGAGCAGGTTCTTAGTCTCTCGCCCTCTCCTTGTCCTACTCCTCTCTTAGGGTGTCCACAGCGTGTCAAGTTGCAGTCACAGTTACAGCCCACCTTCCCCTTGCCTGCTCCTTCTCCCTACACTTGTCCTACTAGAGGTCTTGGTGAGCATCGTGAGCCTGCGTCTCGTCCTGCGTCGCCTGTTCGTGCTGCTCGCACTAGTGGTCGTGTTCCACGTCCGCGTCCTCCTGCGGTCCCAGGCACACACCAGATGGAACTGCGCCCTTCCACTGCTCCTCTGCTTGTCCCGCTGCCGTCTCCTCCAGAGTCCTCTCTTCCCTTCCTTGCTGACCCGGGGTCCGACTCTCTTCGTGCTGCCAGTCCTACTGTCACGCATCTCCTGGCTACTATTATCACTGACCGTTCCTTTGATTCCACTACTGCATCTGCCTTAGTTGTTGAGCTTGTCGACTTTGCTGCTCGCTGTCGTCTAGACTACGCCGCTAGTCTAGTTGCTGATTCTGAGTCTGTCTGTCCTCCGTCCGTCGGGGGTGACTGTGCTCTCAGCACGGACGTTCTTGAGGACAGGCAGGAGGAGTTCCAGTGTTTTGCTGCTGCTTTGCCTCATCTCGTGTCCATGCTGATTGCCCCTGAGGGAGACCCGGATGCACTAGACATCGCGACTCCTCGATCGTACGCTGAGGCGATCGAGGGTCCCTACTCCTCTCTGTGGCAGTCAGCCATGGACGCACAGATGGCTTCCTGGAAGTCCACACGTACCTACGTCGACGAGGTTCCCCCACCTGGGGCGAACATCGTCAGTGGCATGTGGATTTTCAGGGTGAAGCGGCCGCCGGGTTCTCCGCCTGTCTTCAAGGCACGTTATGTGGCTCGAGGCTTCAGACAGCGGCAGGGAGTTGACTAGTTTTAGACCTTCTCTCCCACCCTGAAGATGACCACTCTTCGGGTGCTGCTGCACATAGCCGCTCAGTGCGACTACGAGCTTCACTCTCTTGACTTCAGCACTGCTTTCTTGCAGGGCAGCCTACATGAGGAGATCTGGCTGCGTCGCCCACCTGGCTTCACTGGGTCGTTTCCTCCTTGTACCCAGTGGAGCTTCCGGCGGCCAGTCTACGGTCTTCGCAAGGCGCCCCATGAGTGGCACGACACACTGAGGACTACAATTGCGGCTCTAAGGTTTGCTCCTTCTACTGCCG